GCTCAGCCTTGCACCATAAGGAAGGAGCTGAAGGTTTGTGGGCGCTCTTCCCCGGCTCCTCCCCAGCAGCTCACCTCTCTACACTCACCCCTGCTCCTTCCACCCCCTTTCCACCATTCTCAGAAAAATCACAATAGAAGATTCCACGTTATCTTGTTCCCAGTTAACTGCGAGTGTAGTCAGAGGATAACGGATCATGGAGAAACAGATGTGGTAAGTCTATGCAATGGAATGTCACTCGAGGCTTGACGCAGTGACCCATTTGCTTCCTGGGTGAACCAAGATAACGTAAAAGACACTAGTGACACATTTATTCACCTCCTGTGTGAATGTGGAACCCTTTATGTGGAATACTCAGAAGAGGCAAACCCAGAGCCAAAGAGGAGCTAAGGGATTGGGTCCAGGGTGCCTTTTTGAGATGGTAAAAATGTTTTGGAATTAGAGGCGATGGTTGAGTAACACTGTGTATTCCTAAATTCCACTGACTGGTTCACTGTAAAATGGTACATTTTATGCAATATGAAGTTTACTTCAACCATAAAAAGTTAAACGAGACTGAGCGACAGCAGCCACGACTTGGTTCCAAGGTTTGCACAGGAAGGTGTGTCACCTGCCCCTTGCCTTCTGGCCACCACCCCTTTTCCTGTCACCAGTGCACCCTCCTCTTCACGTCCCTTACTCTCAACCTGCAGACACCTCTCTCTTCCTCTGCTCCACAGTGGCCAAGGTTTGCAGAGGGCTGGGGATCTGTAAGCCTAAAACTGGCTTTGCAAGGCTTTCCCCTTCTGAGGCCTCCGTTTCTTTATAAAATGACAGGGCAGAACCCAAGAACCTCTGCTCCTCATTTTCTCATCAGGAGGCCATCCTTTTCCAGGCGTTCCTTAAAAATGGCCTGTTGCATTTTGCAGGTTTAACCCAATTTTTATGCCGCCTCTAAAATTTCTTCCTTATCTCCCACCGTTGCCTCTGAGCCACTGCTTGGGCAAATAGGAAGTAGGGACTGAGACAGAAAGAGGGAGAAGGACAGGGACAGACAGAGGTGGAGACAGAGAGACACAGATGCAGAGAGACAGTCACGGAGGCAGAAAGGCAAAGACAGACACTGGGGAGGATAAGAAAAGTGGGTAAGCGCTGAGGAAAGCTGGTTTAGTGTGTTTATTTTCCTGTCTGTCCCACTTGCTGAGATTATAGGCATCTGTGGCATGATGACATGTCTGGTCCGGGCTAGGTGCCTTCTCAGGGTCGTGCTTTTTTTTTTTTTTGTACCGGGGATCGAACTCACAACTTTGTGCTCACCAGGTAGGTGTTTATACCACTGAGTAAATCCCCAGCCCATGGGGTTGTGCTTGTTTAGGTATCTCAGTGCATCATCTTTGCATGAGTCTCAGGTCTGCAGTGTGCAGCTGTACCACCTGCCAGTTGGCTCTGACCTTTGTCCATTCTCCCATCTGCCCTGGGCTTCCGGAAGGAGGACAGCAGGATCCTTGTGCTAAAGAGGGAGGTTATACCCAAAGTGTAGACCTTTGAATGGATGCCGGGGTCACCTGCCCCTCAGCCCAGCTTGGGCTGGAGACCTGCTATGCCATCGCTGGACTCCTAGGATCTTAAGCTGAGGACACAGGTTCTGTAGGCCCACTTAGGATAAACCATCAGGGTAGGAAGAGAGCTCAAGGGTCACAGAGTGACATTTTAGGGGACCTGAAGGTTGAAAGAAGTGACAATTTCTCTGTTCCTTCCAGGTCCCAATCACAGGCCTAACATCTGAGGGAGCAAGTTGAAGACTGTTTTTTGGTCCAGGGTGAAACAGGGTGTGAGGGACTTCTTAGTGTCACTGCTGTTCAAGACACAGGCTTTGCGTTTAGGCCCTGCCTCCTGCTGGCTTCGTGACTGGGGGTAAATGACTTCCAGGGTTCCTGTGGTGATGATGATGAGGACAGAGCTCTCTACCTCAAAGGATCGTTGTGTGCTCACTGAGGTGCCTACAAGGTGCCCATGTGGTGCCCACAGAGAGAAGCATGACAGCCTCTTGTGGCCAAGCCCAGGGGCTTCCAGCAAGCAGCTTCTGTGCATCCCTGGCAGGCGCCCCGGGCTTACAGCTTCAGGCGCCAGTCTTTGGTATCTGTCATAAGGTGAGGAAGAAAAGTCACTTCTTTCTACTCTCTGGGGACCTCTCCTTCCTGAATTCTGCTTCCTTCCTATGGCAAGCTGACCTCATGGATGCTACAGAACGGGGCTTATCTTTCTGAACATAGCACATAGGTTCCAAAACATCAGCACTGAACAGTTGACCTAGACCAGCTAGAGCAAGTGTGGAAGTGAGCACAGGGAACCTCAGGCATTTGCTCTCCCAGGGCTAGGACAGGGGTGAGCCCCCCTGCTCAGAGACTGCCTCCTGTGCATCCCATACTTTCCCCCCAAAGAAAAACACTGGCCTTTGAGACGCAGGCAGTTTATTTATTTCGTGTAGTGAATGATAGCCTGTGTTTAAGGATGGTTTAATTTCTGCATTGGTCCTTATAATTCATTCAGCTTCCTGTGAGTAATTCTGACTCTCCAGCCCCAAAGGGGCAGCACTGGGGAGACTGAGGGGTCACTAGAAAACGGGCTGTGGAGCCTATGATACTTTCTGTCTGGCCCTTGACAGCAAACATGTACTGACCCTTTATCTGAAGCTAAAGTGGAATCCTGAACCATCCATGAAAATAAAGACTCATGAAAAACTTTAAATTATAACAGAAGTCCATTTATAGTAGAATAATGGAATACATTTTTTAAGTCTATTAAGTGAAAATAATCAACAATTAGGTAAATGCAGTAGCAGGGAATTCTTTCAAGCAAAGATCTTTTTAAAACAGAACTACCCAGGGCTGGGGATTTAGCTCAGCGGCATAAGTGCCTGCCTTGCAAGCAGGCAGTCGTGAGTTCAATCCCTGGTACCGATAAAAAGGAAAAAGACAAAAAAAAAAAAAAAAAAAAAAAAAAAAAAAACCAGAACCACCCTTGTTGCCCAGCTCCCTTCCTCCTGTGGGTTCTCTTTGACCTTGTAGTCCACTAAGCACCCACCTCTAGTGTATTTACGGATTATGTGGAGGGGGGAGGGGTGTGTGTCTGTGTGTGTGTGTGTGTTACCCAGGGCATTCCTACTGAACTATAAGCTATATCCCCAGTCCATTTTTTATGTTTTATTTTGAGACAAGCTAAGTCGTTAAGTTGCCCATGCTGGGCTGAAAGATCTGCCTGCCTCGGCCTCGCAGACTGCAGGAATTGTAGCATCCCCCATCACACCCAGCATACTTTTAGATTTTAATCTCTCTGCCTGACCACAACCCAAGTTGAAGCCCAGTCTAACATGTTCTCAAGGACGCTTCTTGGATCCACCTGCCCTCCCTTCCTTCCTTCCTTCCTTCCTTCCTTCCTTCCTTCCTTCCTTCTTTCCCTCTCTTCTGCCTGTGCTCTAGCTCCAGTCTCTGAACTGTGCGCCTAGACCAGCGCCTTCACCTGCCTGCCAGTGGTCTCTCCTGAGTCTTTCAGCTGACCCTGCCTTTGCTGCCAGGGTCACCTGGGGCACCTCCTCTGGTGCTGTGCATGCCTGTGAACGGAGTGCCCGCTGGTCTCCTTGTCCCCCTTTCCACATACTGCTTGGCCCACTGAGCAGCAGCCAGCTCGCACTATAGTTCCCTCCATTAGTGGAGGTACAGATGGGTGTGGGAGGGGTACTGGGTACCTGTCCTCTAAGACTAAGTCGGGGTGATGAGTGCCTCTGACAGCATGACCCATGTCAGAAAGGAGCATAGTTTGCTTTGCACAAGCCCTCCTTTGAGTCTGTCTTGCTTGGTTGCCTAAGAACCGTTTAGACTTTCCAGGGTAACAAAGACCACTAAGGGTTAATGCCAAGAGCCACGTGGTACAGGCCTGCCACTTGGCATGTTTTTTCTTCTTCCTCCCTCTCTTCTCAGGAATAAGCTGTTGATGGAACATGTGTGCGTGGGCTGGGGCTCACAGGACAAGGTGGCCATGAGAAGGAAACTTTGTCAGCAAGCCTGTCCTTTCAGGGCATTGCCAGAGGACGGGCTTTGGGGTTTCCACAAGAAACAGTGTGACTGGGCTGGAGGTTTAGCTCAGCGGCATAAGCGCCTGCTTTGCAAGCAGGCAGTCATGAGTTTGATCCCCGGTACCCATAAAAAGGAAAAAGACAAAAAAAAAAAAAAAGAAACAGTGTGACCAGCTGCCACGTTCCTGGGTCCTTGCTTTCTCTGGGCTCCTTTTTTGTTAAAATGTGAGCAACCTCTAGACTGGGGCAACCTGACCTCCAGAGGAGCCATAAGAGTGGAGCCGCTGTCCCATGTGAAGTGTCTCAGGCAGGCTCTCCCAGCTTCTTTTTAAAGGTTCATTGAGTGAGAGGTTTTCCACTCAGGTCACATGGAAAAGCCTGGGAAACAGAGCCTCCCTGGAGGCCTCCACTAGAAACCTCCAGTGACATAACCACTGTGGCAGTCCTGGCATTAGTGCCCTGGGGCCCAGGTGTGTATGTGATAGAAACTGAGAGCCCTTAAAACATTGTCGTGACAAACGGGAGTGGCCCATGCACTAAGGTGGATGCATAGTACAAGAAGAAAATGTGCAGATGGCTGGAGTGTAGCTCCAGGGTAGAGCACTTGCTACGGGTACTGTGAGGAAAAGGAAAATTAAACCGGTAGCCAGCAGCATTTACTTTTTTAGTGAAGTACGCTAAAAAGTCAAGCTTGCTGGCCTATCTCACCTGGTTGTTTTTAATACAATACGCTGATATGCTGTTGGTGAATTACAAGTGCGTAGAAATGTCACTGTGCCGTTTTGGCAGGCACATGGAGCATTTGCTTGTTGCGCAGGAGAGTGGAAGGTCATGACCTGGAGATGGGACTCTTTCTCTGTACCCCTGTTTCACCCCTACATCCCTGGGACATCTAGTCCCTCAGCTCAGCATCCAACCTGTCCCTCACCCTCCCACCTTCTTTCTCCAGGCAAGACTTGAACTAGGATGGCTGAGCCCCGCCAGGAATTTGACACAATGGAAGATCACGCTGGAGATTACACCCTGCTTCAAGACCAGGACGGGGACACAGAGCCTGGCCTGAAAGGTTAGTGGACACCTGTGCACAAAGTGCCCAGAACCCCGAGGATCACAACCAATCACCTGCTTTGCTTTGGCATGGGTCTGCGGGAAGGGGTCACTCTTGACTTCTACAGGCACTTTCTGTGCTTTATAGCATTAGGTTGTCAACATAATGAGAACAGAAGAGAATGAGTCTCATGCATTTGAAAAAGCCAAAGTAACTTGGGGCTGGGGATTTAGCTCAGTGGCATAAGCACCTGCCTTGCAAGCAGGTGGTCGTGAGTTCAATCCCCGGTACCGATAAAAAGAGAAAAAAGGAAAAAAAAAAAAAAAAAGCCAAAGTAACTCAAACTGGGAGTTATTGGGAGATTTATCTTTCCAAAGGAGAGTTTGCCACAAGAGTGGAGGAGTGTGGGCTTGTCACCCGCCCTGATCCAAGGTGCTCCTGGAGTCCTTAGCTACCCCTTTAGGGAATATTCATTAGCATGTGAAATACATGGCTTTATCCATTAGTTCTCACCCTTTCCTTAAATCAGGCTTTCTGCCCTCAATCTGTAAGAGTAGGTTAGCACAGCTCCCACAGTGTGTAACACAGCCTTTCGGCCTTGTCGATTGACCCCTCCCCAATATCCACATTTCGTTTCACAGTGGGGACATGTGTTCTGGGGACCAGGAACAACCAAAGCCCTCTCTGCATCCCCCTGGTCTGGTCCCTCACTTGCTCTGGATCGCTGAGCTGCCCCAGCTGCCTGTGCCACGGGGAGCTCTGCCCGCAGTGTTCCCTCCCTGTGTAGCTCTCATGTGGCCCTTGGAGGAGGACTTGGTCCCCGCCTTCAGACCCATTTCTAAAATGATGAAATTGTGGCAGCCTGCTTTTCTCCCTTAATGCTAAAAGTGAAACCCAGCCAGAGTGTGGGGTAGTGGGTAGAAATTGTGAACCCTTAAGATGGGAAGTGGCATTTGCCAGCTGGACAAGGGGGCACCTCAGGGCTCCCGTGGGTGTGAGAAGCGGGGACACCAGCTCTCCTGCATGTAGAAGCACTTTCCTCTTCCTCCCCTGGAGTTCAGGACTGCCTGGGGTCCAGTTTCAGAGGCTGGCTCCTGTCTCTGTCAGCAGGAAGGCATGGGACTAAGTGGCATTTGAGAATTAGTAATGTGGGTCCAGGTAAGTGGCAGGAGATGGAAGAGGCTCGGCACTGCAGAGCTCAGAGCTGGAGGGGGGTGCTGTGTAGGCTCCAGCCAAATCTCCCTGCCCGAGGTCATCGCTAGCTCGGAATCACCATATTGCATTCAGAGTAAATTCTTCACACACTGAATTATACCAGTGAAAAATACAATATGGATGCAGGACAATTTGGTTTAAATACTAAACTAAGCTGGCTGTGGTAGCACACACCTCTAATCCCAGTCCTCTGGGAGCCTGAAGCAAGAGGACTGCCAAATTTGAGTCTAGCCTTGGCCATTTAGCTGTCTGGCGAGACCCTCTTACAAAATAAAAGTTAAAAGGGGCCGGGGATCTGGCTCAGTGCCAAGGCCCTGAGTCCAATCCTGGGCCCAATATTTATTTAAATTACAATCAATAATATAGTATATGGCAACCAGTATACTATAATAATGTCACATGTTAATAATAGAGTGAACTGGTTGTGGATAGTACTCTCTCTACAACCATCACAAGTTTTCTATAAACCTGAAACTCCTAAAATTGCAAGTTCATTTAAAATAGTTAAAAGAAATTGTGGTTCTTACCACTCTCATTTTTTAAAAAGACACTAGATTTAATTTGTAAACTAAGTTCACCAAGTTATTTTGTGTGTTTGTTCAAACTACTATTCACTTCAACATAAAACACGATGAGTTCTATACTAACACACACACACACACACACACACACACACACACACACACACGCTGCAACATTTGAATTGCTAACCTTTTAGGGGCTGGGGATTTAGCTCAGTGGCTAAGTGCCTACCTTGCAAGCAGGCAGTCGTGAGTTCGATCCCTGGTACCCATAAGAAAAAAAAAGACAAAAGAAAAGAAACTACTGTGAAAGGAAAACATTTGAGGATGCTTACTCAACAAATGTACTTCCCAAGTAAGTCAATGATACCTAAGAGATTTTCACAGATATCCTCAAATTTATTCTTGCTTAGAGTGAGCTGTTTTTATGTGCAGAGCCACAGGTTTGACACAGGTGTCACTGTGCTAACAACAGTTTAGAAAAGTGATGAAAGACTCCTGAATAATGACACGAAACTACCTGTTAAATACCAGGATAGAGTAGCTAACTGGTTGCTAACAGCTGGAGTAGGACTGGATCCCTGTGAAGTGGGTGAAAGTTGTTAGCTAGTAAAATAACACCCACGTGCATTAGTGCATCAAAGAGGTTGCTGGATTAACTTGTTTTACCTTCCCAGTAAGACATACAAATGAGGCTTCTCCCTCCTCCCTGCATCCCTCCGAGGAGTTTAGCAAGGACTGTGCAGATGACAGCGGTTGCAGACAGGTCGGGGCACCCTCCCACACAGGGTGTGATACGCTTGCTTCCTTCCTAGTAGTCAGGCTGGTTACTGACAAGACCCAAAGGCAGCCTGCATGCTGCCGCCTCACCATTTGGCTGAAACCCGGCCGGTCCTTACAATCCCCAGGGAGTTGTGCACATGCTCAAGCTTCTTTAGGATGAGCCATTCCTTAGCTGAGTGGACACTGCCAAGGCCAGTGTCCAGGGGCAGCATTTTTACAAAGGTTGTCCACTCAATGAACTTCACTCGCCTCTTTTGATCTTCGCATTCTGCTTTGTGCATTAGAACCACCGTGCCAAAACCAGCCCGTCTGAAACTGCTCAAACCCCAGAGACCCCTGTTATCCAGGAGACAGCACTCCTCTTCACTAAATGGGCTACTATCACAGTTACCCACAACCTAACAAGTCCAGTCCATGCTCATGTGCCCCATTCTGGACCACTGCTGGTCTCCACACTGCTGGTGGCAACATCACCATCAAACTGGTCCATCATAATCCTAGCAGTGCCCTGGAGACCTCGCCCACTTCTCACCCAATCCCCATTTCCTTGCCACAGACCGTACCACAGTAACCAATGACCTTTGCAGGCTGCTCTCTTCTCTCTTTTGTTTTGTTAAAACAAAACACCAAGGTTCAGAAGCCAACCCAGATCTGGTCCCTTCGCTGTTTTTGTACAGCCTACAAGCAGAGAATAGCCTTTACTTTCCATATGGTTTATACAACCCACTGTCCTGAACATGTGGCTGCTGCCCCAAGGTGTCTCATGACCACTGGAAAGCAGGCAGGAGGTGGGCATAAAGGGAGCTCTTCTTCACCGAGCTCCTTCCAGACAGATGTTTTTTCCTAAATATCCTGTCCAGATATTTTCCCTGGAATTTTATCAGCCACCCTGTCTCATCAGAAGGCTGGAAGATGTGACCTTTAACTGGATACAGCTCCATGTTTCACCATGTCAGGACGCTGTTTCCAAGGAGATGGACTCTATGGATAGCAGTCTGTGTCACAGAGGAGGTGTTTGCCCAGAGGGGGACTGAAAGTCCCTGTGTACCTGAAGGAGGGTTAGTAGCATATAGGCTGTGGCTAGAGTGACTCTGGATTTGTCCTCAAATGGTCAGAGCCATTCATTCATCTGATGCAGTGGTCAGCTATCTGCCAAAGCCCCAGGGATTCTCAGTTGATTGTTTGTCTCACCATAAAAACAAAACAACAACAACAACAACAAAACCCACGCAGGTTCCTTGCTGTGCACCATGCTGTTTGGGGCCCTTTAGCCAAGGTAAGATGTAGTGACTGATGGATGTCACCATACCTTCCTGAGAACTTTCCACATCCAGGCCCAACAAACACAAAATACTCTGAATGCACTCACAGAAGCCCCACAAGTGGGTGGAACTGCTGTCATGCCCATATTACAGGAGAGAAAACTGAGGCAGGAAGAAGTACCTTGGCTGGAGCCATACAGATGGCAGGTGATGGATTTGCGCCCCATCTGCCTAAATCCAGAGGCTGTGATCTGCTTGTCTTTCATCCAGATTTCAATTTGAGCCTGGGTGGGACAGTTAGGAAACAATAGAAACCGTCTCATCCAGCAAATGCCCATAAAGAATAAGGAATTCAGCTGGGGATATGGCTCAGCGGCATAAGTGCCTGCCTGGCAAGTGCTAGGTTCAATCCACAGTACCAAAAAAAAAGGAATTCCTGCCACACGGAGATGAGTAAGGTCACTGAACTGAAAGCTGAGGAGTGTTGACCTGATGACTGAGATGTCACTGGGAAGCTTGGAAGGGCTTTCTGGGCACACAGGGCCAGGATCAGAAGATGAGGACAAGTAGGTGACAAGATATCCTAGTAAAGGGCTTAGAAACTGTGATAGGAACTTTCTGTATTTCCATTTCATCCAGCCATCCATCAACATTAATCTAACCCTATACATACATATCCAGTCATTCAATAATCTCCCCATCTATCCATACCTCCTCCTACTCCCTGTCTACTCCTCCACCAGTCCTGTGCCCATCAGTCCGTTCATCCATCATAGTTTGAGCCATGGCTTACTGTCATGGTCCCTGAGAATCTGGGTAGAGCTTATCTGAAAGGAGAAGCCCAACATTGCCCTCGTTAACCCTTGGCTCCTTCAGGTCGGTGGGTACTAGATCTACAAATATAAATCCTTGTGGTTTGCAAAGTACTTCACTCAGAATCCTCCCAACAGCTCCAGGAGGAGGCAGGTTCAGCTGATGCCACCTCACCCAGTTTATGAATGAGGAAACTGAGGTCCTGAAAGACAAGTCCAAGATTGCCTGACTAGAAAAAATGGGGAACTTAGACTTGAACCCAGACATCCTGGCCATTGGTCCAAAGCTCTCTAGACTGTAACTCCCACTTCCTGTAGGAGACTGTCAGGAGCACACTCTCAGCTGCCCCCAGGCCTGCTCTGGAGCATGTGGACTCTTGGGGCTTTGGCTTGCATGGTCTTCTTTGCCGTCCTTAGACGATATTCCTGGAGGCAGATGTTCTTCTGAGCAGCCGACTTCCTTCCAGGAGCCCGCACTCAGCTCTGTGTACACACAGCTCCCCAGAAGTCTTGCCCTTCTTCAGGTAGAGCCCTGGCTCACCCAGCCTTAGAGGCTGAATGAATGACATAAAATGAGTGACTTCCAGTGACCAGGGTTCCATTCAGGAAAGAATAATTCAGTATTCCCTGGAGAAGAAGTAAGTGTCCTCATTTCTGTTGAGTCAACGCAAGCCACCTTACCAAGGATATTTATCGTGGAAGGTGTGGCTTGGAGCTCTGTGGGTGTTTGGGCCTTGCAGCCAGGCTTCGGATTCTGAAAGGACAGTTTCCTTGTAGGCACCCATGGCTGAGATTTCAAATGGAGCAGTCCTTGGAGAGCTGTTTATGGAAGGAGCTGGGTAAAGTCCAAACATAGCCACATGTTCACATAGGAGCAGGCCCTGGGTCTGCCCTAAGCTGATTCTTTTTCTAAGGCAGGAGTTGTATCTCAGGAGTGTTTTCCAGGTGTCTACTTGTCGTTAATTAATAGCAAGTTCCAGATGGCTCAGCTGTCTGGTATTCACTGCCTGTTTGTCCCTCTAAGGACTTGTGCTCCCCTTAGAACTGACAGAGCAGAATCTCTCCTCCCTCCAGGAGCAAACATGTATTGCCTTTGCCTTTGCCTTCACCCAGCGGTGCTGGTGTGTGGGACAGATATGGGGCGGGAGGGAGTTGGCCCCTTTTGAAGTTTGATCATTGGCCACTGGGCTCATGTTGAGGGGTTTAAAGCTGAAAAGACACTGTTCCCAAGTTCCCCTGAGAGCCATGTAAGTCTGGGGAAAGGCAGTCAACCTGAGGGGTTCATTGTGTATGTTCCAGAGTCTCCCCTGCAGACTCCTGCTGATGATGGATCCGAGGAACCGGGCTCTGAGACTTCTGATGCTAAGAGCACTCCGACGGCCGAAGGTGGGGCCTCCCTTCTCCACTGCTCCCTCGGACCCCGCACCCCACCTCCAGCGTGCGCTTAGCTGTGCCTTCAGCCACCCTTCCCATGCACCCCCATATGTGCCGCCCTTCTGGCTGCCTCTGCTGCTTCCTCTCCTGCTGGCTGAGACACGTGCTCGTTCAGTGCTCGGCAGGGCGCTGTCTCAGGAGCTGGCTTGCTTTGGTGTCTGACCGCAGCGCTGGGTACCCTGCAGTCAGCCACACACTCGCAGAGACTGGGGCGTGGGGCGCAGCAGGGCACATGCTCAGGTCTCTCCCATGTCCATTGTCCTCCCCAACCCCATCCAAGGCCCCTACTTTGCTTTTCTTTCAAGGGGCTATTAGGGCCCAGTGCAGCAGCGTGGCGGAGGAAGGGGCAGGTCATACATACCTCCATGCCCGCACTGTGGAACTTCTCATTTCTTGGGCTCTGGGCATGGCCTTGTCTTCTCATGTGTCCTCTGTAAACATTTGAAGCATCTCATATATTTCCTGAAATGCTTCTTGGTCCTGATTTTGACTACTTTCTCTTGCCTCCCATCTGTGTCAGTTGAGACTACTTCGTTTGGCTGCTGGAAATAGAAAACCCAACTAACTGGCATACATACGAAGAGGTTTACTTGTGTCCCATAATAAGATGGCTTCAGCAGCAGTTTCCCATGTGGTCAGTATTCTCCTGTGGTCACCTTCTGTCATCTTCAGTGATTGGATTGTTGCCTCTTGCTTGCAACATGGTCGCTGCCTCCTAAGCAAGAACAAACCACAAAGCAAAGTGGTCAATATTGAACAATATTGAACACTGAAGCCAAATATGTTCCCTTTTCTTAGGCAAACAAGGTGAGGTAACACATGCTTACAGTCTCAGCATTTAAGAGCTGAGGCAGGAGGATCACAGTAAGTTCGAGGCCAGCCTGGGCTACGTAGTGAGTTCAAGGCCAGTCTGGACTACATAGCGACCCTGTTTCAATGAAAAAGGAAAGCAAGAGTTATTCTGCAACAGATTTCCACTTGGATCTCATTTGGCCTTTTGAGAATTAGATCTCATGGCCACCCCTGGCTGCAAAGGAAGCTGGGAGATTGAGCAGTGTGTTTTTCAGCCTGATAAGTAGAAGAAATAAAGGGAGAAGGGCACTGAACGTAGGTTTGGAGTAACCTGCTTATGGTACATGCCCCTCCCCCTCTGTGCTTCCTGAAGAGGTTCAAGTTTATTCTCACACCTCTCCAGCCCTGTGCATCACTTTGACTATTGTCTCACAGGCTGATAACCTGGCTGGCATCCACTTTTGGAGTCATCCAGAAAGCAGCTGCCAAGTGCCCGCCAGGTGCTCCCTATCATGGCACATCCCTGGAAGATGTAGCTGCGTGGTCCTTACCCAAGGATCCTCAGTGTGGAAAAGTGCTCTCTACTCTCCTGAGAGCTGGTGATGTAAGGCATTTCCTGCTCATTTGCTTAGAACAATTTTGCAAGTTGCCTGCCACTCTAAGACGGTCCTGAAATTGAACCAGATCTCATGCCAGCCTCCTTAACCACAGCTCTCAGTGCACCGTCAGCATCATTCTGGAAGGAGCTCCCGCCTAGTCTTACTGAAGTCTGGATGCATATGTGTGGGCCCCACATGCTTTGGCCCTCAGCAAAAGGAAGAGAGCACAGAACCTGCACCCAAGTCAACCACACACAATTTAAATGACCTTCACTAAACTCAGCTAACATTGGCTCCAGAGAAACCCTCAAAGGTGGCACTCCTTATGTGTGCAGTATGCCAGGGTGGGCTCTAGAGGACCACAAGCTGGAAGTCTTTAGCTTGATGGGATGCTGGCCACCGCTTCTGTGGGCTGTCCTTCCCTCTTCCCTCTTCCATGAAGCTAGACCCATCTAGTGGTCAAGTAGATGGCTGTGGACAGGACTGGCTTGACTATAGCCATACAGGAGGCTCTGTGCTTGTTAATTGGGGGTTACAGACTTGGGGAACAAGGGCTTAGAGGTGAAAGAAAGCTCAGAGGTCACGTGTGATGGCACTCCCATTTTGCAGCTGAGGGAACTGGGGCCCAAGCCACAGGTACTGGCCCTACGTGCAAAATTCCCAGTGCTGAGCTCCTGCACTGCTTTGAGGAGCACACAGCAGGGAATCATCATTTGGCTTTCAGCAGTTCCTCTTTAGAAATGAGAGGACAGCAGTTGGTCTGTCTCACTGCAATGCTTATGCAAGCTGGTTGTCCTGGTGGGCGGGCTGGTGTCCAGTGGCCACTGCCCCTCCAGCAGTGCCCTGTGGGCTTGCTGAGGAGATGGGGCAGGAGCAGGGCTGGGATCTGCTTTGTACTGGTATTTTCCTGCATGCAGCCAGTCCCCTCCTGACCCCCCCGCCCTGCATTGCTCCTGCATACACAGCAAAGGCGAGAGCTGGGCAGCTGGCCAGCCCCTCTGAGGTGACTCTTGCTGGTTTCCAGAAGTGACTGCACCCTTAGTGGATGAGACAGCCCCCTGCAAACAGGCTGTCGCCCAGCCCCACATGAAGATCCCAGAAGGAACCACAGGTGAGGGCAGCCCCCAGAGATCACAGGGCAGTGATGGCCCCAGTGAGGGGTCCACACTGGGTCATCCTCATTTCCAAGTGAGGTAGGAGTGTAGGCAGTACTGGCCTCTAGAAATCCCAGGTTGTTAGAATTTGGGGGCCTTGGTGCCTACTTGCTTCCTGCCAGCCTCTCAGGGGGCTTAGGGCTGTCTAGATTCATTCTGGATCCTCCTCCCCTTGCCTCAGGCATGGCATCAGATCCAGAATGCTCCAGCATTTTCTGAGGCAGGCTGTGGCAGATTTATGCTTCCTTCACATCTGAGGTCAGCCACCCTCCCTCATGCTCAGACTCTACCCAATGACCAGCTACCCGCAGGGGGTAGTTTTCCTCTAGGAGCACCCAAGCATGCAGCAGGGTCCAGACAACTGTGTTACACTTTGGACTTCATGGAGTTGTTCTGTAGGAGTTCAGAAATGTGATCTTGCATCCATTTCTAGCAACATGTTGCCTTTCAAACCCATCTTTCTAGAGCAGGCATGTGAGGCTAATGCTAACACAGGCCACCAAAAAATATAGCAGTGGCGTGGGACTACCCAGTCACTCAGGAGTTACACTGCACCAGCCTAGGAAAGGGCCCAGTACAGCCTGGAGCCTCTGGGCTCATTCCTTTCAGACTCTCTTTCTTGGGCCTCTACCACTAGGGAATTTGAGGGTGCCTAGCTGCCTACTAAGAAATGCAGAAGAAGCAGGGGGCAGTGGTGCAGCCCACTACTCAGCAGGCTGAGGTGGGAAGATCACTTGACTCCATGAGTTTGAGACCAGCTTGGGAAACACAGCAAGAATCCATCCAAAAATAAAAAGGATAGAGGGAGAAATTCAGAAGGGTTCTGTACAGGATTTCCTACCAGTAGAGAGCAGGGAAGTGCCCAGGCAGGGTTTTTTCTTTCCTTCCAGAAGATGTTCACTCTGTGACTGTTTGGGAAGCCTGAAGCTATCTCTCAGGGTTCCTGCCCTGAGAATGCCCACTGCTGGGCATTCCGTGAGACCCCTGCTCCTTCAAAGTGCAGTTCTGCTTTGCAAGATGATCAACAATGAAGTCTTCTGAAATGGGTGAGGGCCAAAGTCGAATTCTTGAAGCCTGAAAGGGCCTCAGCCTTGATGGAAAGGACCGTTGACGGCCATGGAAAAACGGCCAGGGTGAGACCACAGGTGATTTAATTGTCTCCTGCTGACGGTTTCAGTGGGAATTTGTCGTCTGCCTAGGGATGAAACCTCCAGCCATCTTTTGATTTTTCCATTACTCCTGGGTCATCAAAAGCATCTTATTCTCCATTGTCTTACTTTTCTCTTGTTATCGAGACAAAATACTTGATGTGCAAAATGAAGGAAGGAAAGATTTATTTATCTTACAGTTTGGGGATGTTTCAGTCCATACTCAGCTGGCTCCAAGGCAGCGTGGCGTGGCTGAGGGGCAATTGTTTAAGGTGGCTGCAAGCGACAAGAGAAAAAGGGGCCAAAAGGGGAAAGCGTGCCTCCTTCTCTCCTTTATATCGAGTGCCTGTTACCTACCCCAGGCAGGCTCAGCACTCACATCGCCAACCCCAGTGCTATACAACAAGCCAATCATAAATGCTAGACTCGGTCACCTCCACAACTGCCTGAGGCTTTGGAGGGATGTTTAAACCATTTGCAAAACACAATCCGTGGGGCTGGGGATTTAGCTCAGCGGCATAAGCGCCTGCCTCGAAAGCAGGCAGTCGTGAGTTCGATCCCTGGTACCAGTAAAAAAACGAAAAAGCCAAAAAAACAAAAACAAAAAAACCACAATCCATAAACGCTGATCAGTCAGTCTTCTAACTTCATTCTGAGGTGCATCCTCTACCGGGGCTGGTGTGGGCAGGTGGGAAAGCAGAGGTGGTGTGAACTGCTTCCCACCCAGACAGATGTTTGGAGTAACCTCTTAGGGGGGCTGTTTGAGTTCTTCTGGACTGTTCTCCCCCACCCCATCTCCTGTTCCCTGAAGATCCTCTGCTCTGGGTTCTGGCACACATGACTTCTCTCCTCTGCCTTGGAGGTCTGAAGATCCAGCTCCATCCTCAGCTCCTGATGGTGGCCATAGGATGTGACCTAAGGTGCCCACATGACAATCTCTAATGTGCCCACGTCAGGTCCACAGGAACACTGGCAAGCAAACTGAGTACACAGCCTTCTGGCAGGGAAGCAGCAATATACCAAGCCACCAAGGCAGGACCAGCTCCTCTCCTGTCATCTAGCACTCCCAGATGGGGCTGACAGCTGCCTATCAGGTTTCAAGCCAGAGGGTACACTTGTCACATGTCTCCTTGTGATTGGTGCCTAGAAAGACTTCGCTCGGTCTGAGATGGGAAGTGGCCACTGAGCCACCCCCAACCCCTGAAGCCACTCTGTCCAGAAAATCACCCTCAAAAATTCTCTCCCCTTCTTTCTCCTTCATGTCCTCATGGTGGCAGCAGGTTTTAGAGTTGGTAAGCACTTCTCAGTTGTCGCCTCTGGCTCTGTGTTCCTTAGTTTAGCCTCTTACCATAGCACATCCATCTGCAGAACCCTAGTATTCCTGTGAAGCTGCCCAGCAGTCCCAGCAGGGCTGCAGCAATGGGTGCTGTGAGTCCTGTGGGGAAACCCTTGCCCAGGAACAGGAGAGGATGTTAGTTATGATGCTGGCTCCCTCCATTCACCCTCACCCTTGGGTTTTCTGAGTCCTGAGTTGACTGAATACCCAGTCAAGGGTGTCAACAGGCTCTGATTGCTGCCTCAGATCAGGCCGAGGATGTTGAATCTCTGCAGGGTGCAGGAAAGAGAATCAGCTCACCTGTGCCATGGCAGTGATGGTATCCCGGAATGCCCTCTCTCATTCCCACTGTCTCAAGGACTCCATGGCCATTTACCTGGACTTATGGTCACTCTGAGACTTTACTTCGTTTCCACAACCTTATCCAAAATTCAGACCACATCCATGCCTGGAGCTGAGATTCCTGTGCCACTGCAAGACCCGGTGGCTGCCCATTGTTGCATCACCATAAGGAGCCATCACCATCAGGCCTCCTGAGCAGTGCAGTGTTGGCTCCAGGGGCTCAAAGGGTGTTTGTACTGGTGACCTGGCAGATGCAGAGCTTCTGAGCCTGCTTCCACCCCATTGCAGCTGCCCTAAGATAGCCAGCAGCTGGGCGCTTAGGAGGCCACAACACAGCTGCCCAGCGACACAGAGAATCTTTTCCTTGTTGTACTCTCCGTGGCAGCCACGGTGACTGGACATGTCAGCTTCGGTGCAGACACTGAGCTGCTGGGTCTCCCTGCCCTGCCTCGGGCAGGCTGGTCATTCATGGGGTAAGGTCAGTGTGTCCCAACGTGCCTTACACATGCTGCCCCTAGACAGTTGTCTGTACTGTCCTAATTTCTCCTGTGTCCCAGGACGAATATTTATAGACTTTGGTCCTATTGGTGTGATCAGGGTCTTATCTCAGCTTTCTTTGTTTGGGCTGACTGGGATTCTCTGAACATGAGCCTAAGGACTACCCCCTGCCCAAAAAAGAAAGAAAGGAAAAAAAACTAGCTCCTGGGGTTGCCAACCCTCTCCAGCCTGGCAGTAGTTTGACTGTGACATTAAGGGGGGTAAGCTATTTGGTGGGAAGGAACTGAACAGCTTTGGGACACTTGTCCTACACCAGGCGTTACACTGAGCACCTTCACCAGCTTCTTTTACTGCCTTGCTGGAAGGCAGATGAGCCTCATCTGCTTGGGGTTCCAGAGGAGTAAACGGTGGCATGTGCGTGTGCACCATGCTGCTCCAGAAATGCACGATCTGTCCCTGAACTCCTGCTCTCTGGGTGGCAGGGCTGCCACTGGGGCGTGGCTCCCAGTCCTGCTCATAGCAAGTGCCCCTCTGCACTCTGTATCCTGATACCTTCATGGAGCAAGGTTGTCAGGCCCTGGCCGCTTGTTGGAGAAGCTGTCTCTTCCTAGGCCACAGTTACAGGGAAGGTGTGTGGGTGTTGTGGGTTTTGTTTAGGGAACTTTTATTATTACTGTCCCAGGGCGTGGCCTGCAGAGGACCTGAAGTTGCAGCCCCTGGAACTCTGAGGACCTGCCTTTCTCTAGGTTTGAGGAAAGACACCAGCAGATGCAGAAATCTTGGGGCCCAACAAACAGTAACTGTCTTTGCTTTTGTCTTCTTCCTGTTGTTGCCTAAACCAGCTGAAGAAGCAGGCATTGGAGACACCCCAAGCCTGGAAGACCAAGCTGCTGGACACGTGACTCAAGGTCAGTGGCCCAAATTTCCTCCAAAAACTTGGGGGTGATGGGGAGGGAGATGGAAACATTCGTATAGGCTCCACCCTAAAAGAGCTTGGACCTGGACCTTAATTCCTTCCTCCAGAAGATCTGAGTTGCTGGTTCTTGTCAAATGTGGGCTCCTCAGATGTGGAAAGACCCCCCGTTGGGTTTTCCAACATACCATTTCTGTGTCTGTCCTGAGGCATAGTATCCTGAAGGAAGCTGGCCTCATCTTGGGAGCTAAGGACAAATGTCCAACAGAAACACAAGTTTGTATCTTGGGTGGCTCTGCTGTGGGCAGCTTTCTGGCTGATTCAGGAACAAAACTAACCACATCACAATCCAGCTTTTACATTTGAGCTATCTTCTGTTCAGCCTTCAGACCTTACTGTAACTTTCTTCTTTGGAACCAAACTGCTGTGTTCAAGAAAAGTAGCTTTCTATAATCATTTATCATAAATATTTTAAGAACTTGATTTAAGGGGCTGGGGATTTAGCTCAGCGGCATAAGCGCCTGCCTTGCAAGCAGGCAGTCGTAAGTTCGATCCCTGGTACCGATAAAAAAAAAAAAAATGAAAAAGACAAAAAAAAAAAGAACTTGATTTAAAATCCTAGAGAATCTTAGGAAGTAAAGGCTTCTAATATAGTTGAAACATGAGCTGGGTTTGTTTTCCAGTTTTCTGGCTAATTTGAAAGTCTACTGTATACTGTGACAGATTGCAGAAGACCTGGGAAGATGCTGTTTTGTTTTGTTTTGTTTGTTTTTTATTTTTGTTTGTTTGTTTTTTCTTTTTGTATCTGGAATCAAACTCAAAACCTCACACTTACCAGGCTGGCACTTGAGCCTCTGCATTAAACTCCTGGCCCAAGGTGCCTTCCTTTTCTCTAGAAAGTCATAGGAAAGTTACCCATCCTGTAGTGTGACCAGCAGTGCCGTCTGGCTGCAAGGGATTCAGCTACACTCTGGGCGTGGTCAGGTCGCACTGGCCCCAAAGGGTGTGTATTCACAGCTGCACACCTGTGTGCAGACACTTTTCCTCCCTTCCCTGACCTCATCCATCTCCTTTTCTGAGTTCCTGGAACTTCAGAGTTATAGATTTGGTTAGACGAGAGCTAACCAAATGGGTTATTCTTTTGGGACCACATGGGATGTTCAAAGAGTTGAAAGTTAGAAAAATAAATGGTGCCGGGCTGGGAGAACAGCTTTGTAGAGTCCTTTCCTAGCGTGTACAGAGTCATGGATTTAATCCCCAGGACTACAGAAATAATGAAGAGTGATTATTAGGAGAACTAAAGACCATAACTTGCCTGTCCTTCATGCACAGATCCTGTAAAGGGAGATTCTTATGTATAGGCCAGAAAAAATGAGGGTCCTCTTGATCCCTTGAATTGCTAGGCAGCATGTTGCATGACCAGTCAGAGAAGGGACACCCTGAGTCCTGTGTTGCCACAGTGAGCCAGCCAGTGATCCTGTGAACGCATGCCTAAAATCCTAGCTACCGGGAGATCGAGGCAGGAGAATGTCCTATTCAAGGCCAGCCATTGTCTCAAAATTTTATAAAGATGAAGTGGTGTGGAGCCACAGTTCAGTGACAGAGCACTTGTCTAGTGGGCACCAGGCCCTGGGCTTAATCTACAGCACTGAAAAAGAGCAAAAGACAAAAAGAAAGAGAGGAAAGGAAACCTCACTGCACCCCAGCCAGGTTTCACCAAAAAGCCAGACTCTTCAGGAGATTGGAATTCCCTTGAAAGAGGGAGAAACTTCTGTAGCCCAGGAGATCGTGTACAGGAAGGCTGTTGGTGGCAGATAGAGTGAGAGAGCTTTCATTGCAAGGTGTTGAAAGCAGTGGAATGAGCCCCGAGCGTGTCTTTGCCTCTATTAAATGGGCTCACGATGACTTGAAGTGTTCTTTTCTGATGGCGAGAATGGTGTCCATCTCTTAAACAATTACTGCACCTTTGCTAACCTTCTGCCACTGCTACCTCTTCAAACCCAGAAGAGATAACAGTTCCAGGCCAGCACAGGGAGGCACCTGAGAGGCCCCTGGCCAAGGAGCTTAGCGTTCAAGGCCAGCCTAGACACAGCGGAGAAGTTTCTGGGGCCTCAGTGCTGCCTCTGGGTGAAAAACAGTCAGAAGCTCCTGTTCCGGAAGTTGCTCCTCTGCAGCCTCCCGTCTGCCCAACGCCTCCCCCACCAGGAGGTCCTCAGAAACCTACCCAGGAATGGGGACCAGAGCGTGGGGACCAAACCAAGGAGGCTTTAGTCATTTCAAAGCCCTCCTTCCCTGGATATCTCCACATGGAGCCAGAGAGGGTCATCAGTGTCCAGGAAAGCTTGCTCAGGGCACCAGGGTACCATGGAGAAGAGGCCTCAGACCTGGGAATCCCGGGTCTCACCCTCCCACACGTGCCCCACGTGCCCAGGGCTCCCTTCCTGCCTGAAGGCTCCACTGAAGCCACGCATCAGTCTGTGGGGAAAGGACCCGAGGACCTGGACAGAAGCCACCAAGGTTCTGAGCTGCTGAAGTACCAGCTTTTGGGAGACCAGGACCTGAAGAGGGCCCAGGGCAAAGAAAGGCTGGGGGGTGCCAAGGAGGTGGATGAAGACCGTGACATTGATGAGTCATCACCCCAAGACTCGCCTCCTTCTCAGGTTTCCCCAGGCCCCAGTGAGCCACCCCCTCATGCAGTCTCCAGAGAAGCTGCTGGCATCCCTGGCTTTCCAGCCCAGGGTGCCATCCCGCTCCCTGTCGATTTCCTCTCCAAAGTTTCCACAGAGACCCTGGCCTCACCACCAGATGGGCCTAGCACAGGGTCCATGGTGGATGGGCATGAGCCTGTTCCTGAGTTCACGTTCCACGTGGAAATAAAAGCCAACGTGCAGAAGGAGCAGGCACGTTCAGAGCCAGATTCGGAAGGGGCTGTACTTCCGGGGGCCCCGAAAGAAGAGCAAGAGGCCCTGGGCCCCTCTGTGGGAGAGACCCCAAAGGAGGCTGACCTTCCCGAGCCATCTGAGAAGCAGCCTGCCGCTGGTCTGCCTGGGAGGCCTGTCAGCCGGGTCCCTCAACTCAAAGGTCTGTGTTTGAGCTCCCTCGCTCGTCCCCTGGCACCTTTCTGTGTCATCCAGGCTGCGGGCACTGCCACTGAGCTTCCAGCTCCTTGACTCCTGCCACCTGCAAGGTTCTAGGATAGCTACTAAACCAACCACCTGGGCCGCTGCCTCCCCTTCCTGAACCCCCTGCCACCAGGCCTGGCAGCACGTGCTCCTCTCACGCTTGCCCACTGTTCTGCATGTCACCGACACTCCCTGCCACTGCTTTAGCTTTGTTTGATTCTCTGTGCAGTCAATGTATCGACCATGGTCCATCATCCCACAGGAGGGTGGTCAGCACACTTCACAGAGAGATGACAGCTGAGCCTCACGTTCACAGTCCAGAACCCTCCCAAACTCCTAAGTAGGCAAACTGAGGTCTACTTTGCAGATGAGGAACCTGAGGCTTAGGAGGTAAAGTAACTCACTGAAGGTCACCTCTAGGAAGGGACAGAGCCAGGTTCAGAATCCAGGTAGGTCTGCTCTGAAAGACACCCTTCCCACACCCTGCCTCCCAGCAGAGATGCAGAGGCCAACTCCTGCTGCTCCTGACAGCAGACAACTTGTCACATTTGGTAACCTCCACATAGCAACTGGGGGTAGCCAAGAGTCGCCGAGGTGCCTTTGGCCCAGCAGCCCTGCCCTCACTCTGCCCTCCCTGCCTTGTAGCAGGAGATAATAAGCAGAGGCAGGATGCTCCAGGTCCGGAGTAGCCCCTCCCCCTGGGCAGAGACCCAAGGTGACCCTGTGCGGTCATCACAGGGCTGTTAGCTCCACCCCGACCTGGAGCACAGTCAGAACACCCCTTCAGGTTTGTGTCCCAGGGAAGGCACAGCTTTAGAATTCTGGAATATTCTCATTTTAGAATTATTTGCAGGAGCCGGACACAGAGGTACACACCTGTAATCCCAAAACTCTGGGAGCCTGAGGTAGGAGAAGCAGCAAATGTGAGCCTCCTCGGGGCAATTTAGTGACTTAGTGAGACCCAGTCTCAAAATAAAAAGGGCTGGGGATGTAACTCAGCCCCTAGGTTCCATTCCTAGTAACAAAAACTAATTATTCTCAGAACTCAGAGATTGGTACCACTTAATCTAACAGTCGTAAACATCTGTTAAATTTTGAATAGATTCTACTTGTAGAGACAGCTTGGAAATGTTGTAGATGAAGGAAACTGTGTTTAAAATTTTAAGTCAGAAAAAAATTTCTATGTCCTGTTTTAAATTCCAAACAGTCGAAGACAAATGACTGGGACTTGACAATGTACCGTGAGTTTCCTAATGAGATATTTTATTGAATCCTGGTCCATCAGATGTCAGTAGGTCTGAGCATGGGAGAAATGACACTATGATGCAATGAGTTTGATAAACAGGCTAAGCAGAGTTAAACAAACAGGCTTTGCTGCTGCAGGATTTGTCAGGGCCATTATTATGCCAGTGTATGTTATGACCCTTTGGGAAAGGTACATAGTGTGAATTGCCCAAATGTATTTGACCTCACCGGGTTACATCTCTGGGAAGAGGTCTTATTGAGTCCTATCCTGACTTGGGAAATACTCATCTCAGGGATGCTCTTGTGAGCACGATGGCTGGCTGGAGCAAAGGGAGGAACCTGGGAGTCAGATCCACTTGCAGCTTCTACTGCTGGGATCCACATTAGTCTCAGGTGGACCTGGGAATTTGTTTGAGCAACCTGTCCAGGTGTTTCACACAGTCAAGTTGGAAAACCCCTGGGCTAGCGGAGCAATGCTTGTCACCCCACAAATCCAGAGGCCCCACTGTCCTCAGAGCAGATGTACTATGATACTGAAACCAAAGAAGCAGGTCAGTGATCACTGGTCAGTGGTGGGCGTCAGTAAAAGGGGAGGCCGGCTTCGGTAGGCCATGCACAGTCCTAAACACCAGCCAGTGGTTGCTCCTGAAATCCTGATGTTAATCACCGGAAAGCTGACTTAGAGAAGAAAGAAGAAACAGCCTCCCTAGAGACTCCTTGGTAGTGGGAAGACCCACAGGGCTGGGTCAGGCCAGGAGAAGCTTGTCTGGAAGCAACAGCACTGGTGACTTAAGGTTTCTGTGAGTGGAAGGCAGGCTCTAGGGTTACAATCAGCTACAAGGGGTGAAGACATCACCTGGTCACCCATTTTGGTAACAGATGGCTGGGAGTGGGAGTAAAGTGGTCAGCATAAGGTGGCCAGCAAGGTGGACATTGGACTCACTCACAAACTGAGAGCTGGTGGCAGGGAAATCATTGGTGGCCTCTGTCAGACTTCTGGCTCCAGAAGGTAAGTGAGAACTTCATAGGAAGCCTGGCGACAGAGTGTACAACTGCCCACCCTGATCATGGGCTCCTGCAGGGTCCAGGACCTGGCTAAGCTGCCCCCATACCCTTGAGGCTTTTGAGTGCTCCCCGCCCCGAGATTGAATTTGGCTCTGGCAGGGGCAGGGAGGGAGCTGTGGGTGGAAGCCCACACTGCCTTCCCTCAGCAGCCCTGTGGCCACATATGCTCTGACAGCATCCTCTGCATCTCTCTGCATGTCCCAACCTCAGCCAGCCCGCTGCCCCTCTCTCAGTGTTGCCCCCAGCAGTAGCTGTGCTGTGCTGTGTTGGTACTAACAATACCTAGCAGACTGGAGGGAAGAGAGACTCTGGGATTCCTCCAAACCCAGCTAAATCAGACACGCACCTCCAATCCTGAACTGCTAGATAAGACCCGCTGGTGCTTCTCGTGAACTGAGGTGTATCACATTTCTCATTTTATATTTTATCAGCTCGCATGGTCAGTAAAGGCAGAGACGGGACTGGAAGTGATGACAGAAAAGCAAAGGTAAGTCGACAGTTCAGTCAAGAGGCTGTGCTTTATGTCTGAGTTTGTTCTCATATAATGTGGTGTTTGTCACTAGCGTGGTGTCTAAAGTGCATCATGTTTCTCTGCAGGCTCTTAAAAAGTCCAGCATCTATGGATGTTGACACTATGCCAGGCAGGCTAGCCAGCCAGTTAATGAATTTTTGCTCCTAATTGGAGCCTCCGAGTGGTTTAATGAATGTGTTTATGTTTTCGGTAATAAGGTTTGAGTTTTACACATCTTGTACTTGCCTCTGTGTGGAGGCTCAGTGTACCTGTGTGCACATGCATGCATGCACACACATTTAAGGTACGCAGAAAAGCATGTTAGAGAGTATTGAGCAAAAGCAGGGGCTATCAACAAGCCCCAGAAAAGAGGAACAAGAATGCTGCCAGGAAGGAAACACAAGCGAGGCTGATGCTTCCGGGCAGGGAAAGGCATGGCCAGGGGAGGAACAGAAGGAGTAAAGACCTGGAAGCAGAGATCTCAGGAGGGTGTGGCTTGGTTTCTGCAGAACCCAAGGTGGGCTGACATGGGTTGGGAGGAAGTTGGAGGCCGGAAACTTGACCCACATCAGAATGCAGAGTGGAGAAGTGTGGGTTAGCATAGTAGACGCCATCTCGCAGTGATTTGGGGTTAACTCCGGTCAAGGCTCCAGCAGCCAGTGTCAGGCTCAGCAAGAGGAATCAGCCTGCTCACCACTAGCATGCTGAGACCTTTCATTTCAACTACATTTGCCTCTCTCAGTAACTTTATATATTTAAAAAAAAAATGCTCCCCGAACTGCACAACGGTGGTTTTCCAGGAAAATCCCAACATAAAGGCTGCAGAGAGGACAGGAAAGTAGCATAGCATGCACAGGCCCTGGGCTCCGTCCTCAGGAACAATTAAATAGGTAACTGCTACCTGGGCGTCTGGATTTTAATCAGGAGTGGAGCTCTGCAAGTCTCCAGGTCCAGAAGATGGGCAGCCACTTGTGTGTCCCTGTCAGCCTGCATCGCCTCCCCTTCCCTCCTGCTCCCTTCCTTGGGGTCTTCTCTTTTTTTTTTTAATCAAGAATGAAACTCAGGACCTTGAGCTCACCAGGTAGGCACTGTGCGCTGAGTTATACATTCCTGGCCCAGGGGTCTCCTTTTTGACAAGGCTGACGTAGAAAAGTCTCAGCAGCTTAGGCAGAGAATCTGCAGGAGGTAAGAAACACACAACAAAAGCCCAGGACTCTGCTCTGTAGCTCTCACCCCAGAGCACCCCTAGATTCGGCCTCTCAGCTTGTATTCTCTCCTCTGCTGGGGCCATGCTTCCTAGTCCCCAGAGACAGGACAGTCAGTGAGTGTCAGCCTGCACCCATCGAGAGCAGGTTCCAGGGTCCAGCTCCCTCTTGGAAGTTTTTGACTCCACAGACCCTTCTGTTGTCACCCACCCTGCCAGGCTAAGTATGTGGAACATGTTCAGGAGTTAACTTTGGTCAGATTGGGATTTACCAAATAGCATTGTTCTATTTGGAACGTGTGTGTGTGTGTGTGTGTGTGTGTGTGTGTGTGTGTGTGGCCTCGCTGGTATCAGACAGAATCCATGAGCACCTTGTCACTTTCCTAAGTTCTAGCAAAGAATGGGCACCTCTGACCATGACATGTTGGAAACTTGTTCTTAAGAAACAACCTAAGACTTTTGTATCTTGATGACCTCCCGTGACTTACTGAGTATAAAGCATCCAAAGTAGGAGGCACAAGAAGACCCAGTGTCTGCAGAAAGAACACACTAGAGCTTCTATTCATATTTTATCTTCTCAAGTTCTGTCAAATGCTCACTTCAGCACGCACACACACTGAGATATCTCAAAGTCCTGTTATATGCAGGTTTTGTGATGTCTGCCATACACTGACACTGTGGCCCATGTATGTAGCTGACAGATAGTTCCATGATAAAGGGACACAGTGGTTTTCCTTCCTTACTGACCAGCCTAAGGGCTCCTGAGCACACCTGGTCATGCTATGTGTGATCACTGCTCTAAACTATCACCTGCCTGCTTTATGTTTAGTTATTGTGTCCTTTTTTAAGTTTTTCTGTGCTGATTTTGATTTTGATTTTATTTATGTTTATGTTTAAGACATCCACACCTTCCTGTGCTAAAACCCTGAGAAATAGGCCATGCCTTAGCCCCACACACCCCACTCCTGGTAGCTCAGACCCTTTGATCAAACCCTCCAGCCCTGCCGTGTGCCCTGAGCCAACTTCCTCTCCTAAATACGTCTCTCCTGTCACACCCCGAACTGGCATTTCTGGAGCAAGGGAGATGAAACTCAAGGTAAGGAAACCACCTTTGACAAAGAACCAGGCTGCTCTGAAGTGGTATTCACATGTGTTTCCTTAGCTCAGAGACTTTTTTTTTTTTTTGGACAGAGAAGGGCTATTCAGTGTAGCTAACGTTCTGGTAGAGAAAGGAGGCTCAGAGTTGTACTTTCCCCTCCAAGTAGTAGCCCCAGAGACACCTGGGGGATCCTAGTTTGAAAGTTGCCTCTTAACTGGGTGTGATGGCACATGCCTATAATGCCAGCACTCTGGGAAGCCTAGGCAGGAAGACTGCAAATTTTCTGGGTAACTTGGTGACTTAGAAAGACCTGTCTCAAAAGAAAAAACTTAGAAGGCTAGGAATGGAGCTCATTGTGAAGGCCTTGCTTCAATCCCTAGTACTGCAAGGAAGGAAGGAAGGAAGAAAGGAAGGAAGGAAGGAAGGAAGGAAGGAAGGAAGGAAGCCATCTATTTAACTGGGCTCTTTTGCCCACTCCTATGTCCTCATTTGGTTGGACGCTATTGGCCGGCAGCAACTTGTCCCACCAACCCACGCCCTCCTGAGCCAGCTTGTGGTCTGGGTTCACTTCAGTTTCTTTCTGGAGTTCATGTTGCATCTAATGGTCATCAGCTGGGGAACCAAACCCGTGCCTGCCTGCAGTCAGCAGACTATACCTGTGCCGGCTCTCACTCCCAACCTTCTGCTAGTGTTCGCTCACCAAGGGCTCTGCAGGGCTACTAAGAACTCTCCCTAGCCCTGTCCTTTACCCTGACTGGATGATCACCCTGATCGCTGCTACAAGCCCTATTATCTTTTGATAAAACATGTTAGCACAAGCAGTGCTGATAACTAATGCAAACAATTCCCTTGAGAGGAAGTAGTAACCAGGGTGCTTGGTGAAGGGATGAGCTGTGTGCCCGGCAAACTCCTAAGGTTGTAGATTTGTATTGCATTCAGTAGGCGAAAGGTTGCCCTTGTCTTTGCTTCCTTGGGTCGAGTGAGGCTGACTGTCTCAGTGACAGTCATGTTTCCCAGTGGTGAAACCCACTTTACTCTGATTTGGTTTATAGGGGGCTGACGGCAAAACTGGAACAAAGACCACTACACCCCGGGGAGCAGGTCAGAAAGGTGCTGCCAATGCCACCAGGATTCCAGCCAAAACCACACCCAGCCCAAAGACACCGCCCGGCGGCACTGGTAAGAAGAATGTCCCCTGGAGTCCTAGTCCATGGAAGCTCCCAAAAGGCACAGACCCCAATCTCAAGGTGCCGCTGCGAATGCCTGGCAACTGATCAATGCCTGTACTTTACTAAGCACTGGAGTGTCTTTGGGTTTTTTGTTTTGGTTTTTGTTTGTTTGTTTTGTTTGTTCTTTTGATTTTTTGAGATAGGGTCTTACTCTGTTGTTCAGGCTGGCCTTGAATTTGTCGTGATCCTGCCTCAACCTCCCGAGTATTGGGATTGTAGGCCTACGCCGATTTCCTTTTGGTAGTTTTCTGAGCTAGCTGTGGAATCCTCACTTTTTGTCGTTAAAGAAATCATTCTGTATAAGTAGAGTTTCTCTGAGTATTTCTCACCCCAAATCCGGGGCAAGAATCCTGCATGAAGCATTTTCAGGTCCTGGTGGGATGTGTGGCCCTGCTTGTCTGGAAATGAAGCAGCAGCCCAACAGGCTGCTGTGTGTGATCTCACATGGGGCCCAGCCCTGCACAGTGGCACTCCCAAGGGCTTTGAGGAACCTTCTGGAAAAATTGGAAGGTCTTGCCTGAACGGTGGCACATTGTGTGTGGCCATCTGCACCCCATGAGTAAAACTCAGTCAGTGTTGAGGACCCAGCTCCATGCAGCTGCTTCAGTCCACAGTGCTGTGAGGAACACTAGTGCTGTGGGTTGCTCTGGTGACCTGTCCTGGCCCTAGGTGGCCACAGAGCCTACCTTGGCAGCTGTGTGGTCTTTTTTTTTTTTCTTTTAAATCAGTACCGGGGATCGAACTCACGACCACACACTTGCAAGGCAGGCTGAGCTAAATCCGCAGCCCAAGCTCTGTGGTCTTGATGAGTGTGGGATGTGGCACCTGCCAAGACACTGCTAAGAGCTGCTGCTTTTGTGTTTTTGCTTAGTGACCTTACCAGGCGTTTTTCTCGTGTAATCAAGGGGGAACTTACGGAATTTTGATGTGGTTTGTATGTGATTTTGATCCCGATGCGCCTCATCTAACATTATGCCAGCTGATGTCCATGTTGTAGCGACTAAGACCAGGGCATGCCTTGCTCCAGGTCCCCCCACCACCAGGCAGCTGCCTGCTGCTGCACAGATCCCCTTCTGGGCCCCCAAGCTTGTGTCCTGCTCCTGCACGCTGCCCGCCACTCCCCGCCTTCCTGGCCTGTGCTGGCCTGGACACTGCCACCAAAGAACTCATTAGCTAAGCCTGATTATAATGAGGCTATCTGTGGGTTTCTTTTTTTAAGCTTTCAAGCAAGTACAGAGAAAGCCACCCCCTGCAGGGGCAAAATTGGAAAGAGGTAATTCCGGGGCTGCTTCCCTGGGTGGGCAGACCCTTGGTGTGTCACTGTCCCCAGGCTTGTTTGCTGGGCTGGGGGACCCGCAGACGCATCTGTCTGGGGTGGAGGGAGCTGTTAAACCTGTGTTCTCATCTGCTTCGGGGTCAAGGCCTGGGGGCCTGGGGCCTGGGGCCTGGGGACCGGGGAGCTGTATCTCGGACTGTTTGCGGTGCTGAAGTTTGGGTTGTCCCTAACCAAGATTGCAGTGGGAAATCCCCACTGGTGTTTACTAGGTAGAGGAGTTTTGATTTTGTTTTTGTTTTTTGTGGTATTAAGGATCAAGCCCAGGGACTCATGAATGCTAGACGAGCATTTTGCTACTGAACTACGCCCCCAACTCCTGGCGTTTTTGTTTTGATTTTTTGAGACGGAGTCTCATTGTGTTGCTGAGGCCAGTCTTGAACTCCAAGGCTCCAGTGATCTCCCTGTCTGAAATCACTGCCCCTCCACACTCAGCTCCTAGTGGCACCAGAGGGACCCTTTACTTGTTACCACATCCCCTTCAAAACTGTGCTGAGGGCTCTGATCTCTACCCCCCAGTTTTCAGAGGAGGATGCAGGCTTCAGGAAGATAATTAGCTTGTCCAAGAGTACTCTGTAAGTAAGTGGCTTGGAAAGGATTTGAACTGACACCAAGCCCACCCCTGCCCTGGAGACAGAACTTGCACTATTGCAGAGACCCCATCTGTGTCCTTCTGAGGGAAAGGGAAGGCATGCCCTGTCCTGTTGCCACAGAGCTCGAAACCTTAGGAGCATCTGAGGTGAGGAAAGCCACTTGCATTTTCAGGCTGAGGCCTTTGAACTCAGAGAGGGGAAGTGACTTACCAGAGATCACACAGCTAATTGGAGCCCAACTCGATGCTAGGACTGTGAGAGAGGGAATTGGGTACTGAGGAACTGATGACCTCTCTGTTGCTTTCCGAGGGAATAAATGGGTGTCATTGTCCCTAAGTGACAAGGCAGGCAAGAGGCAATGATTTTCCAAAAACAGGCTCCAGGGCTCACTCTGCTGCTTCACTGTACTCTCGACCTTGTCCCCACGCACCTGCTCTCAGCCTGAGCCTGGTAGTGGGGCCCAGGGAAGCAGCCCCCGGGCTTTTGCTGGCTGCTGCCCCCTGGCATCACTCCCTCACTCCCTTCCTTTTCCCTCAGGTGAACCCACAAAGTCTGGCGATCGCAGTGGCTACAGCAGTCCCGGCTCCCCGGGGACTCCTGGCAGCCGGTCCCGCACCCCATCCCTGCCCACCCCACCCACGCGGGAGCCCAAGAAGGTGGCAGTGGTCCGCACTCCACCCAAATCACCCTCCTCCACCAAGAGCCGCCTGCAGACTGCCCCGGTGCCCATGCCAGACCTGAAGAACGTCAAGTCCAAGATCGGCTCCACCGAGAACCTGAAGCACCAGCCAGGAGGCGGGAAGGTAAGGGCGTGTGCGTGGCTGTTCAGGATGGTGTGTGGTGTCCCGCCTGGGGCCAGCACCCAGCCTCCACCCTCCTTCTGCTGGAGTCACCGTCAGTCTGTGGATCCCCTGCTCAGCTGCTCAGAGGAGGAAACATCAATCCTTCCCTTTGTCCCCTCGGTTCCTGCTAAGTAGATGGAGATTATGGGGCTATTTCTCAGTGGCAGGGGCTCCTACCATGATGCCCACCTGCCCTGTAGGTGGCATCTGGCCTAGGTTAGGTTTCTCTTTACTCCTTAGTTCTGGGAAAATTCAGGGGTTCCATTTGGAGCAGCTGACTTTTCTGGGAGCTCAAGTGTTTGGATGTTGTAACAGTGGAGAAATGAGTTCCAAGGACATGAGGTGGAGAGAGACAGGAGCTGGCCGGCCCCTTCTTCTTCTTCTCCCTGACCCGATGTTTTCTTGTTAGGGCTGACACACCTCAGGTAGACAGCATAGATTCACTCCCGCAGTTCTGGAGGCCTCAGGCCTCAGATGGAGGCGTCAGTGGGCTGCTTTCACTGCAGACCTTTCCTGGATGGCCGACATGGCCTTCCTTTGTGGGCGTGCCTGGCCTTGTCTTTGTGCTCCGGCAGCCTCTCACGTTGGATTAGGACCACCCAAAAGACCTCATGTCAACTTAGTCACCTCTCTTTAAAGGCCGTCTTCAAATATAATAATCTTGATTCATGAATGCTTTTTGTTTGCAAACAGATGCATTTGGGAAAATTTTATTTTTGTTTATGAACTCTGCATTGGGTGACCAACATGAATATGGCCATCTTTTCCAGAATCATGGAATGCATTAAGTTTGTGAACCAAGGTACTACTGTACAGTCATTTTCTGAGGTTTCATGGGTTGGGACCATAACATAAGAGGGAAAAGTACAGTTAAACCCAGAACGCCCCTCCCCACCCACCGCTGGGAGGAGGCAAAGGATTGTGGAGGATCATGGTTCTGCTGCTGAGACCGCCGTAGGCTGCTGGGGGTCCTCTCGGAACTGGAGTGGGGGCAATGGGAGTATCACGGATCTCTGGGCCAGTGCTTCACCTCTGGAGACAGCTGGCATCTCCCATTCTCCCCACTGGTGACAGCTCTTTGTCACTGCTGACCAGACCTGGCCAGTGGCAGAGGAACACTGTCAGCCTCATGGACACCTGACCCGAAGCACTACACTTTACTTCCTTTAGAGTACGGGGCTTCCTTTTAATCCTCAGTGCCTGGAGGACTCCTGCCCGGTGGGAGTTCAGACAGCCTCTGCAGGTCAAGGGGCCAGTGGATCTCTGCCTCTCCTCCAGGTGGCACGCCGGTTATAGGTGCCAGGTCTCATCCATGTCACCGAGGTCTTTGGATCAACAGCTTGGTCCTGGGCCTGTGCGAAGCCCACATGTGCACAGTATTTTCCAGATGTCCCTCTAGAAGATAACTCCCTCGTGTACCCAGGGCCATTGGCTTGAAGTTGACCCTTCTGTGCAGCGACAGGGGGAAGGGAACCCAGGGAGCAGGCTTTCATGAGTGTCTGCAGCCTTCCACCCTTGCCCTGTTTGTGTAGCACATGGGGATGTCTACCCTCATTTTGGAAATGAAAAATCCAACTATATGGTGAGTTTTCCACCCCTGAAGAGACGGTGCCACTGTGACTAGGGGAGTCAGGGAAGCGGTGACCCTCAGCACCTCCCAGCCGTGGGGCTTTCCCCAGCATGTTGAAGCATACCTATTGGCACCTCATCTCTGCATGACGTGTGGGGCCCCTGCCAGCGAGGGTGGGGATGCAGAGCTACTTGCTGTCTAATGGAAGAGGCCAGTTGGGTACACGGAGGATGTGGGCACAGATCATGTGTCCACTCAGCCAGCATCTTTCAAGAGCCCCCATGCGCCAGGCCCTACACGGAACCCCTGTAAGCAAGAAAAAGATGGACCGAGCTCGTGCTGGAGGATGCCGCACAATTTCCTGAGAATGCGCAGGAGGTGAAGAATGAGCCATTCTGTTAATTAAGGTCTCCTACCCAATGGCAAAAATCCTGGTCCTGCCTCTCCCCACTTAGGCTTCTGTGGCTTTTAAAGGAAAAGATTCCCTGTGACCCTCATGGCTGGGTCACCCCAGTGAAGTAACCAGGTTACCAAAATCCTCTGTCCTTCACGAAAGCCAGGGGGATTGATGAGGACCCTCGGTCCCTCTGTCGTGCTCTGGCATCTCCAGGTTTCTCAAAAATAACCTCTAGAATCTCCATCCTGGGACACAGTGACCCTCAGCCCCTGAGGTGCCAGGCTTCTGCAGAGGACCCACTGGCACCCTAACTGGCTGCTCCTGTCCTGCCCTCCGCACTTGTGTTCCAGGCTTTTCCTGGCATGGGGCAGGAAGCTGCTGCAGGGTGCTCTTACCCTCGCCAGGCAGATCCTTCTTCACCCTGCTCCTGTCCCTGCTGCTGTCACCATCCTTGTCCCTACACAGGTTTCGGGGCTCTGCCTCTGGCATCACCCTGCCCTATCAGCCTGGTCCCGGACCTTGGCTCCTTCAGGACTGTGACGTGATGCCCCGTGCCCCACAGGCTGAAGCTGCCCTTCCTCTCTGAGTTCCGGCCCTGCTTCTGCTGCCTGACCTGCTCACCCCATCTCCCCTTGCCTGCCCTGTGTCTTACTGTGCTGGGGACATCGGTTTGCTCCCCTCACTCCATCTGTCACCTCTCTGTCTCCCATGCCCCAGTTCAGTGCCATGTCCTCTGGGAAGTCTTCATGGATCCCTCTCTCCCCTGAGCCTGTGAGAGCCCGAGCATCCTGGATATGTTTCTGTCTCCCTGGCCTGGGTAAGAGAAGGCAGACTACAAGAATCCAGGGCCGTGCCGGAGGACCCGTGGATGTGTGTCTCGTGTGGTCTGAGGCTGGCAGAAAGGTTGGCTGCCCCTCTGGACAGCTCCAGCAGCTCAGCCGAGAGCAGCAGGGATGGGCTGGGCCGGGAGAGCCCCTTTTGGGCTGGTCCTGCCCTGCACTCTCAGGCCACCCAGCCCCAGCTTTGCCAGGCTTGCCCAGCGTGACTGGAGGGACAGTGTGTCCATGTCAACTGGGTGGTTAAAAGAGAACGTGGCTTCCTCACAGAAACAAAAAAGGGAAGAGAGACTGCTGTTGGGGTTCTTGGGGCTGGAAGTGACAGAGAAGCCTTAACAGCCTCCTTTAAACTCAGTGAAACCTAGAGAGTGCCCCAAAATGAAGACAGTGAAGCCACAGCAACAAGCACCAGTACGGTGGCCTCCAGGAAGAATAAAAAGGAAAAAAAAAAAAAAAAAGACAGATGGGCCATGGGCAAGGCCTTGCGTCTCGTTCTGAACTGAACCAAGGGCCCAGCTGAAATCTGTGACCCCTGTGGCCCCATCCACGCTGGACATGCGCAAGTGCTCAGTGAGTGTTTTGGCAACAAAGTGACCAGAACTCTGAGAATCTGAAGAACAACACAGCTGGCCTCCAGGAGATGCTCACCTTGAGGGAGGAGCCAGAGCCTGGGCCTTTTCATCACCCGGGCATCTGTTTAAATCATTGATTGGAAAAAATATATCTTTTTTTGCCTTGTTTAGGCATTTTCTCTGCTTTCCTGATTTGATACAGTGGACTTGTATTACTCCAAGAGTAATGAAAATGAAAAAAGGAAAAAATTTGTTTGCTTTTTGTGATAGGATTGTGCTTAGGCTGGCCTTGCATTCACTATGTAGCCCGGCTAGCTTCAAACTCATGGTGATCCTCCCGTTTCAGCCTCCCACCTGCTGGGTTTAGAGATGTGTGCCACCACACTAGGCTGAAAATGAAATGTTTTGAAAAGAAAACTGCAAATAATCCATTGGAGGATCAGGTGGGTGGAATAAAGGTGGGCACTGAAGGGCAGGAAGAACTAGGCTTTGGGTCCTAGAGAGCCAGCTGGGGGTTCTTTTAAACATCTAGTGCCCAAGCGTCTCCTCTGGCCCCACTGCAGCCTTGGGGTGGGCCTCCCTGGATATCAGCATGTTCCCCAGGCTGAGACCCAGTATCACAAGAGGCTCACCTGCTGACCTCTAGGTTCAGCCTCAGCTGCTGGGGCCTTACCTGCATCCTGAGGCTGATGACTCTGTTCTCATTTGTAAATTCCGTAGGTCTGGCTCCTTAGTCACCCCTGGTCCCCCCAGGCCAGCTGTGAGCCTTCCATTGTCTCCTGAGTTTACCCAGGCCAGGGTGGCGTGTGGGAGATGGGGCCAGGAGCTCAGACAGGAAGCTGAAGGACAGCTTTGAAAGGATGGTTTTTAAATTATTTAAAATTATCCATGGTAGATAGGAATGGGATGAGATTGGTGACTTCGTGGACTGGTAAAGGTGCAAATCTGTGCAGTCCTTTTGACCCTCATGAAAGACTATTTCTTATTTTCACAATTTAATCCTGACGGGTCAGTGATCTGCTGAAAGAGATCAGCAGGAAAGGAAGTATGTGAGAGACACATACTTCCTGCCTCAGGATAAGACTAGAGGCTCGGCCAGGCCATCATGAGAGCTCTGGGGCCTCTGCAGAATACCCTACACAGGAATTCAAAACGCTGTCAATTCTAAATGTTGGAAACAAAGAAAAATCAGTGAGCACAGAAATGTATATTAAGCTTTATTTATAATCACAAAGCAAAAAAGTTGAGTGTCTTACACTGGTATGATCATTGATACTGTAGAATATTACATATGCTGGGCATAATGGTGCATATCTGTAATCTCAGTACTCTGGGAGACTGAGGCAGGAGGACTGGGGAACTTTACAACTTAATGGGACCCTGTCTCAAGATTAAAAACTTAAAAATGGCCAGGGATATAACTCAGTGCAAAGGCCCTGAGTTCAATCCCCAATACCAAAGAAAAAGCAAAAACACCTATGAATGTAGGACCTCAGAAATTGCACTTTAACCCTAATGTAATGACTGAAACTGAATTGTCTTTTCATATCTCCAAATTACCACAAATACTTGGAAATTACAAACTTTGTCTACTGCCCATTCAGTGTTCTGCCATGGAGGTGGCCTGATTGGCTCCGGGCAGTCAGGGCTGAAGTCACTTCCTCTGAAGATGTCCAGGCCTATTGAAGGACAGAACCTGGGAACCCAAGAGGAAACTTGCAAGGCTTGTACTGCAATCCCTTAGATGGCCATCAGATGGCGATGGAACACTACAAAGGGCCACCTCCGTTTTTTAACCCAACCCTCCTACCGCTCTGTGGCTACTGCATCCTTCTTTGAAACTGAGTTTGTTTGTTTTTCTCTGTTTACATCTTCCTCTCCTTCTCCCACTTCGGCTCTCTGTCCCTCTACTATTCTCTCATTCCCATTCTCTCTTTCTCTATTCCTTTCTTCATTTCTTCCAATACTGGAAATTGAATGTAGAGCCTTTGCACTGAGCTACAGCCTCAACTCGTTTTTTAAAATAAATTTCTTTACTTATTGAGACGGCATCACTAAGTTGCTAAGTTGTCCAGGCTGTGTTTGAACTTGCAACCCTCCTGCCTCAGCTTCCTGAGTAGCTGTGACTACAAGCATGTACCACCACATACATCACTACATGTGCCGAACTGTTTCTCTTTTCACCCTCAGTGTCCCCTGGACTTCTTCATCACTGGTAACTATGGAAGACTTAATTAAGTGTTTTTAAATGCCTTACATTTGTTAACAAAATCCCAGTTGTCACATTTAAAACTATACGTATAGAACGTGCATGTGGAATAAAACGAACCTGAACCTTGATTTGTCATTCCTTCTGCCTCAGGCGTTGGGACTGCGGGCCTTGGGCTTGTCAGGCCCTGTGGTATCAAAGAGCAGAGCCAAACAGACCCTCCCTGGGGCAGCTCTGTACCCCTGGGACCCTCTGCACCCAAGCCTGTATCCTGCGTGTCCGTGCTTCTAAAAGCTCTTGACTGAGTAGAATCATCTTAAGCTTGAGGTGGTCCCTGTTTAAAGAACAGTGTCCATAATTCTAACAGCAACTCCCCTGTAACGTGATCTCTTCTTTGACCAATTGACTTGATGGGAAATAGACAGTTTCCCCTATCGGTTCCCAGGATGATCACCTTGGCCTTGAAGACTAGGCTTGCTATGGACGTGCAGTGCCCATCGCTGGGTAGCTTCACATCAGAGCGCTGCCCTGGCCTGTTAGCTCTGGTGAGGCCCAGCCCAGCCCAGCAAGCGCCAGGCAGTGCTGGAAACAGGCCAGGGCTGGTCTAAGGGCTCCTGGGGGAGGTGGGGCAGGAGCAGCCTGAGAAATCTGAGCTCAGACAGAACAGATCAAAGCCCAGGGAGAAGCGGGAACATCTTTGCGTTCTCTGGGAAAAGCTCTAAACCACCCAGCACCCCCACTCACGCCAGGCAGCCCTTCCAGGGTCAAACCAGGACCACAGCACTTCTCTCCTGACCCCCCCAGGTCAAAACTTGGCGCTTCCAAAATGTTGTTCTTTCCCCTGATGAGTATTTGCAGTGTCGTCCTGTCCCAGAGCTGAAGCTCAATATTGTATTATTCCAGTTGAGAAATTAAATTGCAGGATTCCATTTTATAATGCCAGACGTTACCCTTTTTTCTCCCTTTCTATAAATCTACAGTTGTGTAAAGGGTGTTGACGTAGTGGGGTGGCTAACAGTAATTCAGATCTGCTTTGTAAATATACTTGTGTTTATTGTCAAATCCTGCAAAAACTTGTTTCCTTTTTGTGAGGTTAGAACAAGAAAAAGCTGCATGTGGGGAAAAAGAAGTGTGCCTACGTATGTTGCTGGCCTTGAGTTAGTGTTTAATATCCTTTAATTCACTCTTTTATGGATTAGTACAGAAAACAAGGTTATCTTCCTCAAAAAACTGGTTAAGTTTTCTTTGTCAAATAAGGAGAGTTACACAACCCATTATGTTTCCATTTTTGCTCTCACTTCTAGGAAGCTCAACGCTAAATGTAATAATCAGTCACAATTATCAGTCTTGATTATCTCCCCTTGTTTTGAACATTAGCCTTTAAATGTTCTTGTTTCATCATTGAATGTATTTTCTAATTCTAAATTGCCCTCATTCTTTTTTGAAAGCAAGCACGTCTGTTTCTGAGATTTACCCCCTGAAAAGTTATGAATAAAAAATTATTCCCGAAGGAGGAATTCATGTAGGAGTACTTAAAATCTGAAGGTGAAGCCTGGCACAGTGGGGCACGTCTGTAACCCTAAAACTCTGGAGGCTGGAGCAGGAAGACCACAAGTCTGAGGTCAGCCTGGGCAACTTAGTGATATTCTAAAAACAGAAAGGAACAAGAGTGTAGCTCATGGGTGGAGAGCTCGCCTAGCATACTGGAGGGTCTGCGCCCCAGTTCTGGGCAAAACACCCTGTGCAGAGGGTGACAGAGCGTCCTTAAAGAGCAGTGGGAGAGGGGCCGGGGGTTTAGCTCAGCTGCAGAAGCACCTGCCCGGGAAGTGCGAGGTTGCAAATTCGATGATGGGAGCCGGGCAGGAGAGAACTTCGGGGCCCAAAAGGAGCGTGATTTTTATGCATTTAGTGTGTGAGGCAGTAACCCAAGGACAGCTCCAGCAAAACTTTGTCATTTGGATGACTTGTGGCTAAGAGAGGCACAACAGGAGAGGAAAGGAGCCATTCAGTGCAAAAGACTTGCAGAATAAGCCAATAGTGTATCTGTTTATTTTGGTCAAAGATGTAAGCAAGACAATTTTTATGATGTATCATAATTATGATTTTAAGTTATTCCAAGGGGACAGTGATAATAACAGTGTCATGACAGTGCCATTTGTTGCATAGTTACTATGCTGACTTTTTTTTTTTTTTTTCCGATACTGGGGATCGAACTCACAACCTCATGCTTGCCAGGCAGGCACTTATGCCACTGAGCTAAATCCCCAGCCCATGCATAGTTACTATGTCCAGGCCTTATTTTCAGTGTTTTCCAGGTATTAACTCATTTCATCTCTCAAAGACTACAGGAGGCCAGTATTGTTCCCATTTTACAGATGGCTGAGGCAAAAAGAGCTTAACTTGCTTACCCAAGGTCAGTGGCCAGGATTGTTGCCCAAGCTTTTTGGCTGCCAGCCCATACCCTTGACCTGGAAGAGCTTGTCTCTCTGCCTGGAAATAATCAAATGGGTAAGAGCCAAAACAATTATTTGAGTAACCAGTTCTGGCAGCAGTACGGTGAAGCTGGCTTTCTCAGTAGTGCTCACAGGGAAAACCAGACTGCACCTTTTAGAAAGCCATTTGGAGAGCCATGTTGAGAGGTTTGTTTTTTGTTTGTTTGCTTTGTCCCCGGGATCGAACTCACAACAACCTTGCACTTGCCAGGCAGGCGCTGTGCTGCTGAGCTATATCCCTGGCACCATATTGAGAATTTTTAGAATATTTATAACTATGACCCAGAAATTCTATTTCTAGGACTCTGCTGTGAAAATAATTCATAATATGGAGGGGAATTCTTTGCAGAAATATGTTCATGGGAGGCTGGTCATTTACAGTAGAATCAATACAGATGTTTGACAGCACAAGAACAGTGTTTACAAAACAGAATACAACACAGTATTGAAAATAAGGGCCAGGATTTAGCTCAGCAGCACAGCATGTGCTTGGCAAGTACGAGGTCATAAGTCATAAGGTCATACCCCAGTACCAGTAATAATAACAATAGTAATAATCCCTAGCCGGGCTCTGTGGCTGAGCTCTAATTTACTATCCTCCTGCCTCAGCCTTCCAGAATGCTGGGATTGCAGATGTATGCTATCACACCTGGCACCTGTTTTATTTATACTTAAAGGAACATAAAAGAAAATGAAGAGGTGGGTTAGATATCTGATTCTAAGGTTTTAAGATTCAGACTAACACAGTTTAGACACAAAGGCACAGCCATGGTACCTGGCCGCCAGCCTGTCTCCACAGATCTTGGTCTCCCAACCCCAGCATTCACAAAGGCACCAAGTGAGGTTAGTGTTATTTTCAAATTTTCAGAAACCAGATCATCCCTGCTTGTTCTTAATTAGAAACTCCAGTTGGCAACAGTTCATGTTATAATTAATAAAAAGCAGGAGACACTGTTTCCATACAGAGTCCCCGAGGGGAAGGACACCCAGCGAGGCAGGCAGAATCCCTGGTCCAGCGGACATGGAGTGCTCAGAGATCTTTCACTCTCCATCTGTGTGTGAGATGCGGTTTAGCTTTCAGACAAATTAGGGAAAAGTCACCTCTACATCTCCTCAGTACCAGAGAAAGAGAAAGCAGCCAGAGGACCAGGCAGCCAAACCCACTTCCAGAGCTGCTGAGAACAGAGCACACAGGCTTGGGGTCCTGGGGCGCCCTGGGTGGGTTGGTAGCAGAGGGTAGGTGGGGGAAGGAGCACGCTTTCCCGTCCGCATAGACAGGAGCCCTCCTGCGAGGCCACACTGTCCTCTCACTGAGGTGCAGCGTGAATGACCCAGGAGCCCGGGGATTCTCCGATCTAGCTGCGTGGCCGTCGTGGGGGACTTGTGTCATACACGTTAGACAAGTGCTGTACCACTGAGCCACCACTCCAGCCCCGGCTTTTCTTCTGAAGACAATCTCCATGCAATTCCAGTGCCGGGGAATGACTTGCTCATGTACTGATGTCATTGGGCTCATTTTCGTGCCCTCGCAGCCCGTTGAGCCCTCGTCTCTTACAGGCCTCTGAAGTGCTTTTGGAGGGACCCCTGCCACACACAAAAACCTTCTGTAAAGCAAGTACCAACCTCCTGAGGTCTGTGTTGTAATCTCGTGGTTGTACAACTTGAAGCTCTTCCTGGGCAGCCTGATCTTCCCCTCCTCCCTCTCCCCACCTCCCCTGGGGAGACAGTGCTCCCCCATCGCTCCCCATACCCCTGTGCGCACAGCACCTCTCCTCCCGGCCGAGGGCAGAAAGCAAGTGTGGTGGGTCCACGGGTGGTGTGTCACTCATCTTTTTTCTGGCTATCAAAGGTGCAGATAATTAATAAGAAGCTGGATCTTAGCAACGTCCAGTCCAAGTGTGGCTCAAAGGATAATATCAAACACGTCCCGGGCGGCGGCAGTGTGAGTACCTTCACACTTTCATGCACCGTTCTGTGGTCTCAGTCTTGAGAAGTGACGTGAGTGTACATATTTGCAAGGCATTGCATAGAATAAATCATTTCGGGCTCAGGCTCTCCTAGTGTACCCCAGAATCCTGTAGCTCAGGATCCCCACACTTGTGTTCACTGTCCCTGGGCCCCCTTCCTCGTGTTCCAGTGAGGGCTCAGCCTGTGAGGCTGGGTGGGCAGCACAGAGATGCTGTCGATCTCGCTGGCCCTTCCCGGAAGCCGGGTCCTCACAGCGTGATGCCTGCCACTGACCCCACTCACTGCCCTGGATCTGCCCCAGGAGCCCCACAGCCCATTTGAGTTTGGGCTGGAGGTGGTGGCATTTTGAGACTGGGCTCTGTCACCTCCTCCTCTGTCTACTGGACAGGTTCACTTTAGGTGGCCCTTCTGTGGGCAAGTGGCCCATTTGTTCTCACCAGTGGACACAGGGTCTTACTGTCCACCTTAAGAGCAAGAGAATTCAGTCTCTGCTCCACTCAGTCTCCTGCATCTTCGAGGGAGGAGCCAGTTCCTAAGCCTCTCTGCTTAGGTTTATACCCAGCCCGTTCTCAGGAAGAGACTGCAGATACCAAACAACTAAGAGCGTTGTAGCTGTCCCTGCCCGTGGTGCCACCTGCAGCCATCCTAAATTTGTTTTCCTCCAAATATCCCTGTGAACACCCTGGGTGCTGTGCGTGTGACTCCGTGAGATGTGGGGCTGGATCCTCACTTCCCACATCCATGGGCTCAGAAACTGAGTCACCCTTGCTGCCACTCTGTGTCCTCTGGGTGTTGTGCAAGCTTGTCTCACTCTAGCTCTCTGGGTCAGCTGTGAGTGAACCCAACAACTGGGAGCTGGGTGATTTGAGACCCTTAGCTAGGCCTGGTGGCACATACCTGCAGTCTCAGCACTCTGAGAGGCGGAGGCTGGAGGATTGCAAGTTCAAGTCCAGCATGAGAAATTTAGTGACTTGGTGAGACCCTGTCTCATAAAAAAGTTCCAGGGAGGGGGCTGAGACTCACCATGGAAGGGCTGGCTTCTGAGAGCAAGGACCTGGCTGCTGGCAGGCAGTACCCATGTGACTGCTGGAGCCCCCCGGGTGGGGTCTCCCTCCAGAACATGAACCTTGCCGCATCTGGCCTAGAAGGTTTATTCTTGCAATGTGCTATCTCTAGCTCTGAGTACCTGACCTCCTCCTGCTCCAGGGCCTCTGAGTAGTGCGTGCGTGCCCTTCGGCTACTGCATGGGCTTCACTAAGGCTTCTTCTCCAGTGTCTAAGTGTCTCTGCTGTCCCTACTCCTTGCACTCCTGTCCCTCCCACTTACTTGCCCTCTGCCAAGAGGAGAAGAGAGGTTGTAGACAACACCCACACTGCCCATTGCTTGCACCTGGGCCGCTGTGTGGCTGCTGTTTGAGGGATTCTATCTTGGAGTCTGGCTTTCTGGTTCCTGCTGATGCCTGCTCAGGCCAGAGGAGAAAGGTCATGTGCTCAATGGTTTGATTCATGTTCAGCTGGCTGGCAGGGTCATGGGTCACAGAAGTGGATGATCCTGCAGGGCAGGACAGGAAGGAGCAAATGGACAGTGTGGCCTACTCCTTCTGGTGACAGGTACTCGACTGTCCCAAAGAAGTTATAGTACGCAGGATACGTGGGGCCTCCTTCAATATCTCCTGCACTGTGTCAGCCTGTGGGCTAGGCTGTGACAACCTTGCATAGAGCCATGAGATAGCCCAGGCTGACCCTGGGCACTGTCCTGGAGAAACTTGATGGTGGTTGTGAGTCCTCGTACCCTGTCAGCCTCTGGCATCTTGGGGCACTAGATCTTGCTTCTTCCTTACCAGGCCCCTGCCTGGTTTGGAAGGGCTTCTCTGGGAAGCCCCGCACCTTCTCCACTTTGGATACCAGTCCTCCTGGCTGGGCTCTGGGATCCTCTCCAAGGCTCTGTCCTCCCTCCACCCACTCTGGTCTTCCTGACCACCTGCCTACCCATCATGCCTTTCTCCTCTGGCCCTCCCAGCATCCATCTCCTGCCCCTGCCTCTTCCTGGCTCCCTCTCACTATTGACCTCGCTCAGGCCACAGGGAAGGGAGTGTGGCTCTGATCATGGCAGCACTGCTTCAGCTTCCGCCATCTACCTTCTTCTGTCCCCCCAGCGCAGAGCTCATGGTGTCCCCAGACCTATCTACAGATGGTCCATATCCTCTAAGTGTGGCTTTTTCCAGTAAACTCGGCATGGTGGTGCACGCCTGCTTTGCCAGCACTCGGGGCTGAGGCAAGAGGATCACAGTGAGTTTGAGGCCAGCCTGGGCTCTGTAGTGAGTTCGAGGCCAGCCTGAACTACATAGTGAGACTGTCTCAGAAAACAAAACAAAAAATTTTGGCTTCTTCCAAATGTCCTGGAAGACCCCTGGTGTCCCAGTGAGATGTGGGATTTAGATCCTCACTCCCCACCTGCCTCCTTCATGTGCACAGGGGATGCTATCACCTTCCTGGCTGGCCAGTGTCTACTGGGCAGCGTGTGCAAACTCGTCCTCAGGCTTCTCTCTGGCCCCTCCTTATTCTGCAGCTCTCCGGTCTGCTGTGAGTGACCCTAACGCCTAGGGACCTGGAGGTTTGAAATTGTAAAGTCCACCCTCCCCACCAACTTCGGAGCAGGCTGTGCTCCTTCACCCTCCCAACACATTTCCCTGTGATTCGTTTACCTCCCCATCAGTGGACAGCAAATGCCAATATGGCTTTGAATTAAAATAATGTGTGGTTGTTCTATTTCGACCTACATACAAACTCCTTTTTATGTGCTGGCTTTGAGCTGATTCTCACACTTCAAGGCCACCTCTCCCCAGAGCCTCCTGTGTCCACACAGGGTCAGTCGGGAGACCCCTGGGACCCAGTAACTGGCCATCCAGGCCCCTCACAGCCATAGCTCTGTATCCCATGGGGGTTCCCCCTCAGAGGAGCTGCAGTCAGTGGGTGGCTCAGGGCCTGTCATTCCCTGCAGGCAGGAGGACATTGGACCCCTGGGCTGGCTCTGGGTCCAATGCCTGCAGTCTTCCTGTGTGTCTGAGTCTGCTGACATTTGCTAAGACACTAACTCTGCGGTTTCTGCTGTGTACCTTTGGTGTCACTTTGCTCCTTTGGTAGAGGCTGAAATGTCCAGGACCCTGTATGTCCAGGTGCCAGCTGGCTCTTACCCTGGGCAGCTCAGCTAGTATGAGTCCTGCTGGCTGACCATTTTGCCCTGGTGGGGGAGCTGAGGTCTGTGGATGCTTTCTGGAATGGAGCCCACTCATAGGTCCTCAAGGCCTCTCCCCCAGGCCCAGTCCATATCACACTGTAGTCTTTCCCAGGAGCTTTTGTAAAGGCTGAACATACTGATCATGTTGGTCACTTTTTCCTTTGTGTCTTCTCTGAATGTGATCAGTCAATTTCATGTCAGTAAAAGGAGTAACTTTTTTTACATTGAAATACTTGCTAAATAAATGATCTGGCCCATGACGCTGACCAGGTGTTCCTGTTTTTCCCTGAGGGTCTTTTGCTCTGAAGATACTCCAACCCCAGTGTTATTTTGCGAAGACCCAGCTCCCTTGGAGCAGGTTGGCCAAATTTCAACAACACATTTTTCTGCCCTGACTAGATATGTCTCTTGCTGTAGAAGGGAACCACTGACCAAGTGGTTCAGGCTTATACAGCTGCTTTTCATTGCGTTATGCCCATCATAAAATAATGCCATTTTATTCTGTCTCTCTGTGTCTCTCTCATCTTCTTTCACCTCCAGGTGCAAATAGTCTACAAACCAGTGGATCTGAGCAAGGTGACTTCCAAGTGTGGCTCGCTAGGCAACATCCATCATAAACCAGGTAGCCCTTGCAAAAGGCGAGGGTTGGGAGAGGAAGATCTGGTGGTAGGGGCTGGGACTGGGGGCAGGGTGGGTGAAGCAGCTGGGAGGGATCTGTAGGCTGGAAGTGCTAAATATGGAACTTGTTGGGGCCTGGGATGCATGGCTGCCCCAGTTTGCTCTGAGCAGGACTGTGCTGGCTAAGATGAGGTATGGAGGGAGGAGAAATACTGGTCTTGGCTCAACCATGGCTCTGCGATGGGCTGTATACAAGTGTCCAGGGCTGGCAATGGGCCTGGTCTGGCCCCCAAAGGGCTCCCAAGTCAACGCAGGGGATTCTTCACCCTCTAGCTGCAACATGAGACCCTGGGTCATTGCTGTGCTCTGGCTGTGGATTTTTTAAAATAGAAAATGGGGTTATTAGAGCTCAGCCATGCCACTCTGCACTCTGCACTGTAGAGGAGCCATGCTGTTCACCTTTCTGCAGTGGTGACATCCACGTCCGTGCTGTCCAGTGTAGCTAACTACATATAGCTATGGAGCATCTGAAATGTTGCTAGTGCAGCTGAGAAACTAATTTTATTTACCATTTTAGTAACTACATAGCATAAAAGGCCAGGGAAGGGAAGAGTGGGGGGGGGCAGGATCTTTAGGGTTGGGTTTTTTTTAGTTTTTTGTTTTTGTTTTTGTTTTTTGTCTTCTTGGGGTGGATTTCACATTTCACTGTGCTGTTCTGGCTGGCCTTGAACTCATTTTGTATCCCAGGCTGGCCTCGAACTCACAGTGATCTTCCTGCCTCAGCGGTCCAATCCTGGGATGACAAGTGGTCATCACCATGCCTGGCCGAGGAGCTTTAGTTTGATGTTCAATTTGATTCCAGGGTCTTGTGGGTTGTAGCTTACAGGATGTTAACATAAAAAGACTTTCCATGTTGAAAACCAGCCAGTTTAGAATTTAATACAATTTCTCCTGGAATGAGCTACTGTTTACTTTTGTAACAACTAAGGAGGAAGAGTTTGCAGAGTAAATATTTGATGCATACCTTGATTAAAAGGAGAGGCTGTTTTAAAGCCCTTTGCAAGGACTTGTATCTAAACCCATTCTAATGAAAAGAGAGCCTCATCAGTTCCTGAAGAGCGGTCCCTGCTTGCGATCACTTGTTCAGCCTGTGTTGGAGTCATGTCAAGTACTCCCCTCCAGAGTGGTGGGGGCTGACCTCATTTTGTTGTGCCCCCAGCAAGTCCTGGCATTTGGCTCTATTGGCTGCAGACCTTGTTTAATGTAGGCTAAGTGCGCTAAACCATAGAAGAGGCGTTTCTGTGTTTTGTATTCTAGGAGGTGGCCAGGTAGAAGTGAAATCTGAGAAGCTGGACTTCAAGGATAGAGTCCAGTCGAAGATTGGGTCCCTGGATAATATCACCCACGTCCCTGGAGGAGGGAATAAGAAGGTAAAAAGGGCGGGGCAGGGAGGAGGCACATTTGGATATGGGTGTTGATTGACTGAACAAGGCTGGTCCAATTTTCCATGAAGGATCTTGTATGGACTGGCTTGAGGTGGGCTCTTGACAACAGCTGGGACATTGGCCCAGGCGTAAGCTGCCTGTTACAGTCACTTAGGAACTTTAACAGATGAGGCTGGAGATGTGGACTGATTGGTTTCAGGCGCCTGGAGTTTTTAAAGCTGCCATGTGATCAAAAGTAAGAATCACTGCCCTAGGCCTGGGGGCTCACAGGCACACCTGAGACCATAGAACCATCCCCAGCGCAGGCCCTGGTACATCAGGTCCTAGGAACAACCTCATTTTCTAATTTGGTTACTAGGTAGTTAGCACAGGGCAATGGTGCTGAAATCATTGCCTGTCCATCCTGGAAGTGTCCACATGGAGGCTGCTGGACCATAAAGTTCCCAGCAGCTCCAGGCTGTGGATATCTGTGCTGTGGTGACGAGGGGCACCTAAGTGAGCTTCCCGTGGCTCAGCACAGTGTGACCATGTTTGCACTTTTTCTCTTCTGCGCATCTGCAGCAACAGTGTCTTCCACGGCTTCCCACCCACACCTCCAGGGAGCTCTGGAGGTGGCTCCCCTTCCAGCCCCTGGTGACTCCTGTAGCTGGCTGGAGAGTGGCAGAGGGAGAAGGAGTGTCCCAGAACAGGAACAGAATCAAACTCAACCTACTGTGAGGAGAGCACAGCTGGCTGGAGGGTGCCGCTGGGCTCTTATCACCGCACTGTGCTGGGTGGCAGCCTGGAGTCCCTTGCCTAGGCCAGTGCCACATCATACTCTTGCCCTCCGCTGCGTGCCCTGCCACCTCCCCCCTGGTTCTGAGTGTGGAGGCACACCCCATCTGTGTTGCTGGAATGGCTCACAGTATAGTTTTGTGGGGAAGCATTTGCTGGTATAATCACCCCAGACAGGGCCCTGCAGGGCTGAGGGGAGGCGAGGAATCCCAGCCCTCAGACAGCCCATCCACGCTTCCCGGCTCCGAGGACGCTCACTCTGCTCTCTCTGGAGGACCAGGTGAAAAGAAGTTTCTGTGGCACTTCTGCTGACCCAAATGCTAGAATGTTTCCCGGTACCTGGATCACTGTCAGAAGCAGGAAGAGACAGGGAGGGCAGGCCAAGGCCGGGGAACACAGAGCAGAGCCCAGTTCTTCAGTCAGAGTCCAGGACTTCATGTGCGTCTCACACCTACCCTGGCTTAAAGTGGGGCCTCCTGGCCCTGGATTCTTTAGTGATCCTCTTGCCTAGCACCAGCCTAGAGTCTGATCCAGTCTTCTGGGGCAGGCCTGGGCTGTTGAGACTCCCTGGGAAAAGGAAGGTTTCTGTAGTTCTCTGAAAGATTCTATGCCCTGGAAAAGGTTTCAGACTTGACTGCTTGGAGGTATCATTTAGGCAAGATCTGCAGATCTGCAACCTCTGTTTCTTCTTCAGCAAAATGGGATGAAAATACCTGCATTCCAGTGGGCTTGAGACTCCAATGAGGCAGTGTGGTCTGGCACATTGCAGTCCTCTAAGAACTTGAGTTAGGGACACCGTGGAGTCAAACTTCTTAGCTCCTCTGTTGCTTACTTATTTCTATGTTGGCCCAGAAAGGGCAGACAGACCCTGCCCCTGCTCAGACGACACCATCCTAGGGATGGCTAACATCCTCCTGGGATTCACTTCCCTAGTGTGATGAGCAAAACTGCCAATAATCAGTGAAGTGCATGACCAGCTCCTGGATTCCTTTCAGTTTGGGAATGTTTGAAATTCCTAAGTATATATTGCTTCTTTCATAAGAAACAAAGCCCTTAGAAAACATTAACATAGGGGCTGGGGATTTAGCTCAGCAGCATAAGTACCTGCCTTGCAAGCAGGCGGTTGTGAATTCGATCCCTGGTACTGATTAAAAAAAAAAAAAAAGAAAAAAGAAAACATTAACATAAAGCCATAAAGCTAGGTATAGTGATGCAGGCCTGTAATCACGTCTAATTAACCAGGAGGCTCAGACAGGGGAATTGCAAGTTCCAGGCTGGCCTGTGCCGCACAGGAGACCCCATCTCAAAAATAAAATAAAATTTAAAAAATAATGTCAGTGTTCTTACCAAAAGTTTTCTCAAATAGTCTTTCAAATACAGTACTATAGAAGGGGTCTCTTTCCCCACAGGGATCCTAGACAAGCATGGTTGTAGACACCTATATAACCTCAGTACTCTGGGATGCTGAGGCTGGAGGATGCAAGTTTGAGCCCAGTCTGGGCAATTTAGTAAGATCCTGTCTCAGAGTAGAAATAAAAATAAATAAAGGCCAGGGTGTAGTTCATTGTAAAAGCTCTGGATTCAGTCCCAGTACTGCAGAACACACAAAAGCAACCCAAGGTGAGAAAGATGCATGCCGTCTTAATGGAAATCTTGTTTTTCTGTACAAGCACATTTAAGTCCTGCAATAGGGTCTCTGCACATAGAGTCCACAGACCACTGCAGTTGTATTGAGGGTGTACTTGGGTATGCATTTACTCTGGCTTTACCAGATGCTCAGAGTTGGGGATCAAAAATGATGTTAAGGATTACAGTGCCTGCTACTGTGGGTTAATTTTACACATAATGCTTTCCACTTCCAGGTTTCCCAGTGTGCTTTGGGACTCCTGCTTATGTTTAGACCCCTTACTGATCATTAGCAAAGAGGAATGTGTATGGTTCATGGCTGGCTTTGGTGGCTCTAGGAACAGTTCTTGATCTGTAGCTTCTCCTTTAAGACTTTCATTTGCAAGTGGGAAGTAATCAATGCACAGTGTTTGGGTGTAGGCCATTGGTATAGCACTTACTAGCATGTTGTGGGATCTTGGCTCTGAGCCCAAGTACCTCAAAAAAAAAAAAGCCTTTTGACCTAGCTATTCTGCTTCTAAGATACACTTGTGTGTGAAATGATATATATACAAGGTTACTCAGTTATTTGTACACAGCATTGTTTGTAACAGAAAAACACTGAAACACTTTAAATAGCCATCTGCAGGGGAGTAGATAATTTTCAGTACATCTGCTGTGATGATATGTACTGAGCAGCCATCAGCAAACATGAGGAAGCTCTCTTTACTGAGAACAGAAGACATTAACTTTGAAAACCAAAGAGCCAAGCATGTGTATATTATTACTATATTTATTAAACACATGCGTTTGTGAATGTGTGGGATAGCTCTGGAAGGTGGCTGTCTCTGGGGAGAGAGGTGAGGGGAGGTTCGTGCACAAGTGCTGTCAATTGGAGAACAGTCTAAAATCCAGCTTTCTCCCACCAAGGGCCCATGGGTGGGGGCATTTGGCAAGGCTTGTCCTGCTTTTCCTGGTATGCAGCTTGCCCTCTTCCTCCCCGTCTCTTCCCTGTAGATCGAAACACACAAACTGACTTTCCGCGAGAATGCCAAAGCCAAGACGGACCATGGGGCAGAAATTGTGTACAAGTCACCGGTGGTGTCTGGGGACACATCTCCACGGCACCTCAGCAATGTCTCTTCCACTGGCAGCATCAACATGGTGGACTCGATGCAGCTCGCCACACTAGCTGACGAGGTGTCTGCTTCCCTGGCCAAGCAGGGTTTGTGATCTGGCCCCCGGGTTGGTCAATAATCACAGAGAGAAGAGAGTGAGAGAGTGTGGAAAAAAAAAAGAATACTGATCTGGCCCTTCGCCCTCTGCCCTCCCCCCGCTGCTCCTCACAGATGGGTAAATAGAGTCATCACCTAACCTGCTTTTGTTACTGAGCTTTAGCCCAGGACTTCAAAATCAGTGATGGGAATAAGAGCAAATTTCATCTTTTCAAATTGATCAGTGGGCTAACATCCAACATTTCCTGGGCATTTCCTTTGGATTCTTCCCCCACCCCACCCGCCTTGAGTAGAAGAGAGCGGAGAGGCCTGGGAAGCTGTTTTGGGGGAGTTTCAAGGAACTGGGGTACTCACTGCCTCTGGCCACCTCCTGGGGGTGTCACAGGGACAGCAGTAGCAACAAAGGACTTAAAACTTGGTACGTGTGTGGAGCCACAGGCAGATGACATTCCTGTGGGTGTGTAGGGACAGGGCACAAGGCCGGCCAGGGTGGGCAAGGGGGGACGGGCTGCGTGAGACGGAAGAAGGAATAGAAGGGGGAAGGGTGCTGCCGCCTGCTGAGTGTCGGGGAGGAGCAGCCGAACAGGCAGGTGGCCTCAGTGACCCGCCACAATCTCCCATCCTGTGACTCCTTTTCCTAGTGGGCAGTGTGCTCCCTTCTGGAGGGTGTCTTGTTGTGCAAGGGACAGTGGACAGGAGAGAAAAGGTCAGTTGGAGATGGCACCGTTATGGATTACTTCTTCAAAGACTGCCCTTTAGCATCCCAGAGCTCCAACCCTTTTCTCCCTCCCATGCCAAGCTGGTTCTCCCCTCAGCCTTAAAACCCTGCTATACTGAATTCTGAACATTGGAACTGCAGCCACGATTATGGTTACTTCAAAGACCTGAGACTTCAGGGCTAACCAGTTCTCTTTGTAAAGACTTGACTTCTTGGAAAATATGGGGCTGTTCCCAGCCTAGGCTCCAGCATCTAGGGAGTGTACTGGGTCGGGTGTGCCTGGGAGTTCCCATTGTTTCCATGGCCACTGCAGCCCCCTGTGCCTGTCCCTTTATGCATGTGTCTGCTGTGACAGGTCAGTCACTGTCCTACCCCTCATTATATCACACTGGCTAAGTGCCCCACCTCCTTCACTCCCAGTCATGGACACGGGTTAGATGTGGGGGCACCTACTCTGCAGTAGGGGTCCAGGGTACAAGAGCTGAGGTACAGTCTCTAGCTTTAAATTCCACTCATCCAACCAATGTGCCTGTCACAGAAAATCGAGTGACCTTGTTTGGTTCTCTCCCCTCCCTGGCATCACACACGAGTCAAGGTGGGGCTATTCCAGGTTGACTTTAGACTTTTTGGCTTCGTTTTGGAGACAGGCTTTTCCCTCCCAGGCCTGGTCCCTGGCCTTCCTGTGTTGAGCTCGCAGCTGAAGGAAGGGTGTCCTGGTTGTTACTGATGGCATCAGGATGGGCAGACAAAATTCCCAGGATGAGAGTCAGGTTCTCTCTGTCCCCCACTCCCACCCCAGCTTGTGACTGCCAGCCCCGAGTCCCATGCTGTTCAATTCCACACGCATGGAATCAGCCTTCTATACCCCAAAATGAAGACCGTGCCCCTTGGGAAATGGTTCTTACCGCAGTCCCACCTGGAAGCAGTGCTGTCTGATCTGTGGGAGCAGCTGAACATATACATAGATGTTGCCCTTCCCTCCCCATCTGCACCCTGTTGCATTGTGGTTGGACTTGTCTTTTTATGTTTGGATTCACAAGTGTGACTATGATAGTGGCAAGAAAAAAAAAGAGGATGCATGTATCTTGCAATGCTTGTAGAGGTTTCTAGTGCATCCTCATGGGGTGCTGGGTGTCTCTCACCCCCATCTAGGAACTTGGCTGCAGGCTAGTGTGATTCCACTCTCCTGTGCCGCCCAACTTTTGAGTTTCTTCAGCATCTGGGACCTAAGAGACCAGACTCTGGCTGAGGACTCCTTACTCTGAAGGCCTGAAGCCCAGGACAAGGACAGAGGCTGTGGGGCTGCCCTCTCCCCAGGGCTTGCTGCGTCAGAGCAGTCTGGCTGGCCTGGTTTGCAGCATAAAGATGGGTCTTCCCTGGCCACAGCCTGAAGTCCCACAGCAGTCTTTGAAGAAGGTCTTAAGGAAGGAACTATTGTACTACAAGAAGGAAGCCAGGGCCAGCGGGGGAGGAGCTGCAGGCCAAGAAGCCTCGGGAGTCCAGCAGGGAGCCTGTCTATGCTGTGTCTGGCCTCAGCAGCAGAGACGGATAGGCTGCCTGACCTGGACAGACGCCAGGACACTGGGCGCCTGAGGGCCAGGTCCAGTCAGAAGACACCATTGGTTTCCACAGCCTCATCAGCGCATTGATCTTGCACAAACGCTGCTGTGGGGAAAGGGAAGCAGCCTTTTCAGAAACTAGCAGCCTCAGGCCTGCTTATGCCACCTCTGGCTGGCTTAGGTACAATTAAAAGGAAACCTGGGGACTGGCTGGGCAGAACAAAAAGTATCTAGGTCCAAAACTTCCACTGTGAGGCTCCCTCCTGCCGGAGTCCACACTGTCCGGAGTTAGGAGGGAGGAAGAGTGAGTTTAGACAAACGGCCCCTCGTGACTGGCGGATACAGTCCGGTTCTTCACATGCCTCCTTTCCTCCTCCGAAGCTCAGGCACCCTGCTCTTTTACACGGAGTAGGTGGGCTATAGGGGACAGGCCGAAGATTATGGTTTTGGGGTGATTAGGTCAATGTGGATAGGCTGACTGCAAAGCGATGCTGGCTTGTGATTTTCATGAGGACAGTCCCCCCAGAGCTAAGCACTCTTCCCTGTTTCCCCACCTTCAGAGGCCAAGGTCCTGGGGTGGGCTAGGCAGGATATACTAGATGCCTGGTTCCTTCCCGCTGTGGATTCACTGTATCAGTACTCCCCTTTAAACTGACTTCTGTGGTAAGACTGTACCCTGTTTGAGACTGCTTGTTCTGCTGTGGGGGGAGGGAGGAACACGTACGGTATTTCACATGGGCAAAGAGGAGTCTTGGAGCGCTGCGGTCAAGCAGCCTTGTAACCCTTTTCATTTCATCCACACTTGCTAGACAGAGGTGCCACGGGGCCCAGCTCCACGGCCAGGCTTTCCCATTGGAAAAGGAAGCCAGCTTATCCCCACCCCTTGCCAACAGGTACAAGCTGTCAGGCTTATGTGGGAATCTGCTATCTTGTTGTTTTGGCCTGCTGACCTTTTGTGGAGTCCTCACCCCAGGATCACACCTCCCTGAGACCCTGGCATTCTTCTCTGTAAGCCATTTGGCACTTGAGTGTCACCTCTCCCACTGGCTCCCTACACAGTCCACACTTCCAGCAGCTGCTGAGACCTCTTCATTCACTTTGTCTTTATTCCCCAAATAAGCCAAGAGATGGGGACAAGGGCAGAGGTGGTAATCAGTTACAGGTCTGTGGTTTTATGAGCCTATTATCTCTCTGGCTTTGTAAAGGGTTACCCTGGGCACCAACCCAGTGTCACCTCCTGACAGACTTAGCCTGTGAATTTGCTATTCTGGGCAGGTCAATTTCCAGCACTTGCAAGTCCCATGATTTCTTTGGTAATTCTGAGGGTGGGGGGAGGGACATGAAATCATCTTAGCTTAGCTTCCTGTTTGTGAATGTCCATATAGTGTATTGTGTGTTTTAACAAATAATTTGCATTGACTGTTGCTGTAAAAGTGAATTTGGAAATAAAGTTATTACTCTGATTAAGTCTCTGTGTTCATGGATTCCAAGGACAAGAAAATGAGTAAGATACGATTTCCAAGTTTTTCCTACATTTAGAGTAGTTTAGGACAGGAAATGGCAGTGTTGTTAAAAGCTGGACAAGGTTAACAGCTCCGAGGTGGCAGAGGAGCAAGAGTTCGGGCTTGTTCAGTCTCCATTCATGATCTCATTGTGCCGCTGCAAACCAGCCAACTCAATGGCAGGCAGTACCCTTGTGGCCGCATCCACAGTGCTGCAGTGCATGTGGCGTGCCAGTGGATTCCAACCTGAGGAGCTCCAGTGTGCGGTCAATGTAGAGCACTGAAGCGGAAGCACAAAACAAGCCAGCCAGCTTAATAAACGGCAGTTTCCTTCCAGACTTACATACATACATAGCTGCCTTTTCTTTGGAACCTTGTAGACTGAGGAATGTTTCTACGTCAAGACAGGGATATTAGGGGCTGGGGAAGGACACTGCTTCCCCCTAGCAATGTCACCAGGAGGTATGAGTCCTGAGATTTTTACACCAAGTTTTAAATATTACTTGGCTCAAATCTTCCTGATGATTTACCCTCTGCAGACAGCTGCTTCAATGAAACAGATTTTAACCTACAATTACAAGAGCACCCACAGGCCAACCAAAGAAAAATGTTCTTGGGACAGCTGCTTTCAGAACTCTGACTGTAGCCTCACTAGATGTGTACCCTTGACTGTCAAAGACAAGAGACAGGACCAGGCCCACTCACTAATCCACCTTGTTCAAGGAAACCAGGCACTTAGCCACTCTCAGAAGACAGACACTGCTATCACGTGGCAGGCAACCCAAGTGCTATACAAATTACTGACCCTCATCCCAGAAGTGTGATGATGAGAAGTAACATCTCCATTAAACAGCAAGACTATACTGAAAGCCTCATTAGAAAAAGTATCAAAACACTGAGAAGCAATGGACCAACTGCTTTCACTCAAGAAAAATGAGATGATTTGTACAACCTTTACACCTCAGTGAAAACTGCCACTGCCCATCACATGACCCTGCCAATGTTCCCAGGAGACACAAGAGATGAACCAAGGTTCAAAACAAGTCACAGAACCCTAAAGCGTGGCTCCAGCAAAGCCACATTCAGAGCAGCCACCACTAACCATGTACACCTCCATCCAGTGTGACAAGAAGGGCCTGACACACAATATTCTGTAATTCTTTTTTTTATTTTTTTCATTTTTTTCTTTTCTTTTTTTTTTTAAGCACTAGTTTGTGCTTTGCGAACAGAATCAAGACATTAACAAAGATCAGCTTCTCTGAAGAAAAGCATTTCTATAGAACAAAGACAGCTACATGTTTTGCTGCCATTACACAGCTCAAAGCAGGAAAAGAAAATATTTACAAAATACAAGTTTTTTTTAATTTTTTTTTTTACAATGCTAAAAGGGTTATTCAGAATTTTCAACCTTATAAATAGAAGAAGCACTTTATGCATAGGGAAATGGTGCATTATTGTTGTTTAAAGAAACAATGACAAACCCTTTAACTTGCAAACAGGAAAAAAAAAAAAAAAAAGAAAAAGAAAAAAAAAATCACTAATGTTGAAAATTGTGAAAAAACCCCCGAACCATTAAGCAGTTTGTCTACTATTTTTATATGATTACAAAATGGCAGGAAAAAAAGTCCTTCCCCCCTCCCCCTTTTTGGTGATGTGATTATACATGAGACAGGCACAAGGTTAACAAAAGAGGGTGACAGGAGTGATGGAAACCACAGCCAGGACCAGACGATGTTCCACAGCAAGGGGAGTGCAGCAGACGAAGTCTTAATTGACACTGACGGGAACTGGAGGTGAAGGGAACATGATTAAGTGAACCAGTCAGTGAAAACGAAATTATAGAGGGAGATGGCTGCGTACTTCCCAAACCCCCTAGGAGGAGGAGACCAAGATTAAGTAGTCCTAACCCCAACTGTAGGCTAGGACGGGCGATAAATACCTTCAAAGTGAAAGGACTGATGTGCGTGGATGTGTGCAGGGCAGACAGGAAAGGGTGGGAGAGGACAGGATGGGGGAACCTGAGCAGCCACAGCCAGGTTACTGCGGTTAAGGAGTCAAGACAGAAATGACCAAATGCAGACAAAATTGAAAACACGTCTTGAGATACTGGAGACAAGGGGGAAGCCTTCCTACCAGCTAAGAGCTCAGTGAGAGCAGCCGGCAGTTACAGCAGAGATTCTGGTGGGTGCACTAGCCCGGAAAACTAGGTGGACCCAGCCAGAAAGGAAGGCTATCGAGCAGCCAAGCTGCAGATGGGAGGGGAGGGTTAAAGGCCCGCAGCGCCCTTGCTCTGTTTCACCCTCACGTAAGGCCGTGCAGAATGTAGCTTTCCAACCCTCTGCCCATCTGGCTCTCCCACCCTGCGAGTTTGGTGCGAGGGAGAGGGATGATCATCTAACATTGGTAAGTCCAGTGATTCAACAGGGCAGAGAATGTGCCAGGACCAGGCCAGGAAGGTCTTGTCCTGAACTTCTGTCTGCCAACTGGAGGAAGTGCTCAGGTGTGTGACAAGAAAACACGGAAACAAAAACAAAACAAAAAGTAAAACAAGGAAAAAATAATAGCAAAGGAGGATCTAAATTCCTTAAATTCACTAAAAACTGTGAAAATTTCCGGCATATGATGTTTGAATATCAAACGCAGAGATTTCTGAAGCTTTAATGCCAGGTTAGTGAGTCCGTTTAGATTCTCATCTCCTGTTCATCTGTGAGTCGGACGCTGAGCAGTGACTGTTGCTGCCAAATGCCGACTCTTGAGGGTGACAGTGGGAGGCGAGGTGGGTGCCATCTCTGTCTCTCGGCCAGTCTTGCTGCCTGAGGTACGCCGAGTGCAGCGGGCTGCCCGTTCCTGTGGATCCAGGTGGTCCTCACACTCTGCCTGGGGACTGTACGGCAGGGGGAATGTCCGCCGCTCCCATGGTTGCACAGACTGCAGGCAGACAAGGAGTTCTGGTGAGGACCCACTCCCACCTTACTTCTTGCCTTGAAATTGACAGTAGGGTCCATGCCCAGTGATGAGGGTGCAGGGTGTGGTCCAGGCAGACCCCTGTCGGGGGATGCTCTTTAACACTAGCCAGTATAGTTCCGCTACTTCCCTTTTTTTTTTCTCGCAGTGCTGGCGATTGAATCCAGGGGAATGCACATGCTAGCCAAGTGCTACTGCTACTGTGCTATGTGCTACATCCCCAGGTATCTTTTTTTTTTTTTTTTGAGGCAGGATCTAAGTTTCCCAAGCTGGCCTCATGCACATTCCTCCTGCCTCAGCCTCACAAGTAGCTGAAATTACAATCATGTGCCTACATACGCAGCTCATTTTACCTTTAAATAATTTCAAGCACAGCTCTCCATCCCCTCAAAACAAGGAGGGAACGTCATGAAGAGCCATCTTCAGCAGGTGCTATCCCCTTCCCAATTCTACCATAGCTCACCAACCCCCATGCAAAGATGGCATCCCTTACCTGTTCATCCAAACTCAGCTCTGGTGTGGAACAACGGGTGTCTTCACTGGCTAAGTGTCTGAGAGTGTCTCGAGCCACAGGAGTGAGGGGTGCTGAGTGTAATTCTGGGCTAATGGGGCTCCTAGGGGACTGACAATGGGAGAACTCGGACAGAGAGTGGCTACTACTGACATCAGGGGAGGCAGGCTGCGGGGTAGAGGGGTTGGCACTGCCCAGCTGGGGGGTGGTCCGGCCGTCTGATGACCTGTAAGACCTGTACACCAAGGAAGGAAGATGTCAGTACTTGAGTAATAAGGCATTTGTCTGTTTCTAGAGATGTGAAAAGGAGACATGAAAAAGGCATCCCTATCAAGAAGCTGAGGCTAACCGACACAGCAGAGGATGTGTTTTCCTAAGACCCACCAAATCCCATTTCTTTCACTGCTGCCCAGAGGGGTAGGTGTACATTATAGGACCTAAGCACTGTGTATGCTATCATCCATGGCTGAACAATGACCTCTGAAGCTCTTCTGGCTAATCCCTGGCACAAAACCTCATGAACTCATGGGGATTTGGCAATTTGACAGACCCTGAAAATTATGAACGAAACATAACAAAGCGTAAGTGAAGACCCCAAATCTTTCTATTTAATGATCTGTAAGTTTTATGGTACTATTAGGATACAGACAGGACAATTACATGAATGTGACAGTTCTCTTAAGACAGGATATAAAAGCACAGTCTATTACCCAAAAGAAGGTTAATTTGAGGAAGGTCTTAAAAGCTGCTCTGGCTAAATTATTACGATGCCAAATGGCCCCCCACGTGCTATAGCAAACCACTAGAATTTATGAGAGAATAGCTAGGGACAACTTAACAAGGATATAGCGTCTGAGTTACATATCCACTAAACCAACAAATACCAAGGAAATTTTATATTCTCAGCCACTGCCAGTAGATAACAAACAATAATGAGGCAGTAGCAATTCTGGACACAAATAAGAGCTCCAACTCCCTGTCCACTTCCCCCGAAAGGCCCCAGGAACCTGTGCTTCCACCATCACCTGCTGCCTCGCCGCTGGGGTGGTACACTTGTGGTCCACAGCCACCGAGCCCGTTCCATCTCCTCACATTTGGCATGCAGGGCGGCAAAGGCTGCATCTGACAGGTCTTCGATCTGCAATGGAATGGTTTTGTTAGTTGTCCACACCCTCCTCAAAGGTAAATTTAAGCACCAGTAATGCAAACCAGCCCCACCCCTTTCTAGGTTCTTCCAGGTCAGGACATGACTACATTGAGTTTGTACTTGACTCACACAAGTCTTATGGCATCTTGAATGTGTGTACACACATGTGTGCATGTAACCATTACCTCCTCACTCTCCTCATCTGGATTCCCCTTCAGAGACTGAAGATCAACCTCTCGCCAGCTGCAAAAAAACAGGAAGAATGATCATGGGATGGCAGGGTGTCTAAAACAGGCCCATACTCAAATACCTTCAAAAGCCAGAAACAGAAGCAAGCTG